ATTCACCATATGCGTATGTAGTACGTGGTTGTTTATACGGCCAGATTTTTAATGGCATGGCAGCTAAAGTAAGCCAAAGACAAAGCAACGGCAACAGCAACTGCAGCTGACAGCAACTGTTGCTGATTAGCCATTGGTGCATGCAATTTCGCCCACACGCCAGCATGTGAATTCAAATTGCCTGGCAGCCGAGGCAACAACTGCAACAGCAACGGCAGCTACTTTCTAAGCTAACCCAATCCTAGCGAGCGGAGGAAAAAGTGGGCAGAAGCCAAATCAGCAGCAACAGCAACAGCAGCAGCAGCTCGTCTGGACAAAAACACCTTAAAGTAAACAAATTTTCGATGTACGCACTAATAAAAACGCAAACACTAGACGCTACCAACGTCCTGGAATGCATCCTGACTGGCAGCAGGCACAGCGGATGATGCTGATGATGAGGATGGTGGGGATGATGACAGCGACGTCCAACCAATGCTCGATGGCTATTAAGGGCGATAACGGCAGCAGCCGCAGCAGCTACAACAACCTCATGGCTCATGTTGGGGTGTAGGTAATCAAGAACACGCTTATCCTGAATGCATGACCAAATCACACCCTGTACTGAGCTCTTAAGTGTCCTAAAGCACAGCTAAAATAACTAGTGAAGTGCGAGTACAAGTTGATATTGAAAATTTGACATGAATGCCTCGTTAGCAATCGAAGGTGTGCGGCTGGGAAATACCCTGGAACATATTATGCAGTCACACGCGCGCAACAATTGTCCTGCTGCTTCTTTTGCTCTGTTCAGAGGCCAAAAATATGCGCATATGCCAAAGCATTCACACAATCGGCGTTAAGATACCCTAGGTTTTGGGCTTAGAAGAGATCTCATTATATATATATATATATATATATATATATATATATATATATATATAATTGATCAGAAGTCTTGGGCGCTTAAAATCTGCAATGTACGCAGCCAAAAGCTAAATATGAGAAATGAGAGCGACATACTCCTTGTTTTTAATCATATTCAATGGGTATAGCTTACTTTAAAAATAGGAAGAGATGGCCAATGTAAAACGCAGCAGAAAGAGAGGGCAAGCGATAGAGAGAGTGAGAGACAGAGAGGGCGTGCGAGAAGGTGGGAGAGAGTGAAAAGTGCGGAATAAGAGATAAGAGCGAGACAATGCATGGACACACGCCGCGGACGACAGCCCCAACTAGTATGCAGCAAAACATAGCGCAGCAAGTCCTACACACCGCCTGCTCCCTTACACAGAGAGCGAGAGAGATAGAGAGAGAGAGAGAGAGAAGGAGAGAAAAAAAAACCAAACACACTTAGGCGCAAAGTAGCGGCATTTATGCGTGTGTGCGTACCACAACAGGCCAGAGGCCCGGGCCCCATTGAAACAGGAGCCCGAATTAATAGTGGGCGAAGTGCCCGAAGCGAATGAAGTGGTTCAAGTGGACCCGGCTGGAAGTGAATGGGTCTGCCGGGTAGAGGGTGTTCAGCTGCTGAGCCGTTGAGCTGCATCAACTACGCATCGGAAAACGATTTTCGTTTGCCTTGAATCCCAAAAATTAAGCTCAAGAGCTACAAAGTGCTCCCAACATTAAATGACCGTACACACAACTGTGAACCCAGGCGCAATTCTCGTTGATTCGTTTCTCGGCTGGAAACTATGTCCCAGCTCAAGAAGCGGCACGCGAACCGTGTTCTCCTCCTCTATGTGAAGCCTGGCCAACTTGCCTCTTCACAATTTTAGCTATTTTTATTATATATTTCTCATATTCTACAGATAAAAGTGCTCTAATCGGAAGTGCCCGACTAGCAGGTGTCCTACACTCTACGCCTAAGCTCCCGTTACCAGCATGCTATATTTATTCGAAACATGTCTATACTAAAGCACACAAGCACACGCTTCCGCCGGGTGCTCAAATAACTTCAGTGCTTATAGATCTAAGTCAATAAAATGTGTGTAAATACCAGTTTAAGGTAATATTTGCTATAATACCTATTTTCTTATCATACGGCAAAATGGGACAGTTATTTAACAACTCCGGAATATGCGGGATTAGTGTGTGCTATAGAATACGCAACAAACCAAATTTGTAGCTCCGCTAAGTGGTCGAAATCGATTTGTATCGATTTTGTCAGAACTTAGCGATTTATCGATGATTTTAAGAAAATTCGATATTTTCGTGCCTACTTTTAAAAGAGTTCTAATCTGAAACCGGAATGAGTTTTAGATTCAGTTAAGCCGACTAATGATATAAATATTAAGTTGTCGTTATAATATTTATAAATTATTGCAGGGTATTTGGCTGGCAAACATTGATTTTATGTTCATTAAATTTCATTTTTATGTTTTTGCAATTTCGCACTTGTTCAAATAATGCCGCGCTGCGGGCGGCAAAGCAAAGCAATTTGCGCACCTCAGTCCAGTTTGGCATCGAGGGAATATGGCCACGCGCCGGCTTTGATAGGGATAGATATCGGAGCAAATGACGGGATTACCGCCGCAATTCCATTTCCATTTTTTTTGTACTCTGCTCTGTTCCTTCGTTTTATGACAGACTCGCTTTGCTTATCTATAAATTAGTGCACGGCCGGCTACAAATCAGCGTCGTCATCGGGGTCCACGTTCCCAACTGCGTTCCCGTTCAACTCTGCTCTGCTCTGGCAAATGCAAAATCTATGCCAATTTATGTAAATCAAAGTTTAAAATAAATGTTCAAAGCCCGCGCACAGTAACAGAAACAGAAACCGCACAAGACTAGACCCCAACCAGAGCACAGACCAGACCAGACCAGACCAGACCGGGCCAGACCCGACCCCAAGCCGGAGACCATTCCAGACGACTAAAGAAACTTATTTGAACAGACGTTGCGGAAGTGCGGGTAAGCTGGTGCCTCAACTGTGCAAAAAGGGGACGATTGCGTCGAGGGGTCTGCTGGAGCGGGTAACAAGATAGAGAGTGGTCGGGAGGGGTAGGGTGCGGGGTATACTTTGCTTGTTTGCCAGCCGCATAATTCAATTGGCGTCGTCTACGACCAAAAAGCGCTTGAGAGCGAAAAACAAGTAAGTGTGCACTAGACGACAATGCTCGACTTGGCAGATGCCCTGCCGACAGCTGCGCGGGAAAGAGCGGGACATGGCCGGAGTCGATATACGTCTCTGCATTAAATACAAGAGTCTACATATTAAATTTGGCGTGGCTAGCTCCAAGGATGTTCGAGCTGCGCATTGCTAAGAAAGAGTGAAAATCGATATAAATCGATTTTTAACAAAATTTTCCAGCTAGCAGATGCCACATATGCAGCTAAGCTAAGAAGAGCGGTGGTGGTGCACGTCTCAGTATAAAAACAAGTTGTAGCTGAATATCGATAATTATCGGTTTTAAAAAAGAAATCGGCCTGGCAGACGCCTCGTATGCAGCTGGGACAAGAATAGAGAGGTGTTCGTTTCAGTCGCTTCTCAACATATGTATATTGTCTAGAAATCGATATTTATCGATTTAAAGGTTAAAATCAAGTTTTTGACTAGACAGATCTCTGAATAGAGATGACATAGGGTACTGACCGGTTGGTTTGGTAATAGAACTCGATAACAATCGTTTTTCGGTCGATAACTATCGATTTTCGGTAAATGTTTAGATATCGGAAATTGGAAACAAAAAATACTGCATATGCTTGTTTCGAACAAGAATTTATATTACTTTCAGCACTCGGAGATAACCGCCACTGTCTGCGGCATGCGTGCCGAAGAGATGCGTATACCCCTTTGCCAATCGCTTTTGAACAGGGTACAGAGAAAAAACAGCAGCCAAACGACAGCAAAGGGACAGCCAGGACATGGAAACAAATGAACAGCAGGGCAGCAGGACAGTCAGTCGCATTTTCTTAGGGAACTGTCACCTACGTTACCGGCTATCGAATTTCCTTTCGCATAGAAATCAATGCAGCTGACATAGCTGTACCTGCTGTACCTACTGCTGCTGCTGCTGCTGCTGCTGCTGCTGCTACTGTTATCCTCGCTGCCCTGCCTGCTCACCTGCCAAACCATCTCAACTTCATCGCAAGCATCCAGTTTCGAGAAAAACAAAAAAATAAACAAGTAACAGTGCACTAGTCGGGAGTGCACAACTAGGAGATACCCTGAAGTCTAGACACCCTCCATACATACAATCACACGTACGCACACACGCCAGGACATTAATATAGCACACAAAAGTGTGTATATTCTAAAGCACAGGGCTATACCTTGATAAATAGATTTTTTTTCCAATTCCGAGATGAAAAGGGTAATGTATCCAAATATGGCTAAACTGTGTATGACACACAAAAACCAACAGTTTTATCTATCTATCTTTTATGTTCTTCGAGATATGGCTAAAAGAAACAATGTCTCTGGAACAATATATATGTTTTATAATAATATGACTAACGAGATTTAGGGGAGCATTTATATCAAGTCGTGTAGATCTTAAAGTGTCCACGAGAGAAGATATATATAGATATATTATATGGGTTCGGAAAAGCCTTCTTCAAGCGTTCGCTGTAAAAACAATATACCCGTTTTATGCATTTGCAATGGCTGCAGGGTAGACTCAGAGGTAAAAGACACACAGACAACAATTGTTATGGCAATGGAACATTTTCGTATTATCATCTGATGCGCATTTTAACCGATTTGAATTGTGGTCAAGAGGTTTACGAGTTGAAATTTGAGGGCTTTTCAAAGCTCAAGAGTCGAATGCCAAGCAAATCAAAGCATTCGCAAATAAATGCTAAGCGAACCGTAAATAGATAATATGCTTAACTTATCCACTTTGACTCTCAATAGATTTTCGATATAAATCTCGCTTATAAATCTTGTTATTATTATAATTATTATTGCTATGCATACATACATTTTCATATGTATTTATGTATATATTTTTATTTATATACATTACATATATATATTAATGTATAATTTTAAGTTCTCTTTAACATTGTGTAAAACTCACCTTTCGAATCAAACGCAATTCGTCTGGCGCCATCTGTCGACACGCTGAGTTCAAGCTGTGCTGTTGTGTCAGCTTTCTTTTATAGCAGCTGTGGTTTGTGCTTTGGTTAAAAGCAGTTGTACAAGTGGAGAGTTGTCTGATGTCTTAGCTAAAATTAAATTAAAAATGAAAATTTAATAAAATATAAAATAAACATAAAAATTAAATACAATAAAATAATAATAGTACCAAAAATTATTATTATTATAATATTATTATTATAAATTTCATAATTTTTATACACTAACATTATGAAACGGTTTTTCACGCACAAAATTTTGCTGTTTAATGTTGAAATATTAAGTGTTACAATATTATAAAATATAATTAAACTTAATTCAAATAATAAAAGGCCGCCTAATCTAATTTCGATTCAAGAAAACGGATTTTCACACTACAGAATGCAATCCTATAACTAACTAAAATTATTTAACATATTTATTATATAAATAAAATATGGCAAATAAAAATTGATTTGCTTTAAAATACGTTTCGAAGCAGATTAAAATTCTGTCCATTAATGGAATCAGATGCATAATCCTTATTATGGGCATAATACTTATACTAGGATTAATCCTTGCACCTTAAACTAAGCATTATAATAATATTTGGCACAATCATGATACTAGGCACAATCCTTATATCTCGCATAATCCATATATTAAAGGGTAATATTTATAGTAGGCTTAATCCTTATACTAAGCATCATCCTTATACTAGGCATATCTACCCTACTGACTAACTTAGAAAAAGTCTCTCTACCTAAGGATCCCGCTGGGATTGATTTATTTGTTTATTCCGTTGAGTTATATACATGTTTAATATTTGAATTTATAATTGTTGTTTATTTTATTTAAATATGATTAATGCCAAAACAATTGCATGTCGAAAGTCGCGTAAATATACAATTCATTAAATCATTAATTAAAAAATAATCATTTTTGGATTTGAATTAATCGCAAGTTCATTCACATATTTCAATTTGGCAGCTAAATAAAAAACAATAATCCAATAATAATGCCCAAGCATTTGCTTTGTAACAAGTAGATTTATTTTCATGAATTCTAAAAAAAAAAAAACAATTAATTCCCTTTCTTACTGCACACACACACACACACACACACACACACACACACACACACACACACACACACATACACACACACACATACACACACTGACGCCTTATGGCCTAGAGCTGAGTTAAGGACAATTCGGCAAGAGTTTTTGGGAGAAAAGCTCACTAATACTTTAGCATTTACCAATACACACACACATACTAGAATTCTATTTGATTAATGAGTGGAAGTGCTTGATGAACTTGACTTTTTTATCAAAGATTTGGTTTCAATGTTTGCTCAGATATCACAAATCGAATATATTCCAATATTAAGTCATATTTTTTGTTGCTCAGTGTACCAGCTCCAAATGTCAGACAATACAATTAGCTAACTGCACCAGCAAAATTATGACAAGACAATTTTTGCTTTTCATGCAGATATATATTATATGTTGATATGTCGATTAGCTCAGCCAAATCGAATCCTATTCAATGAAACCCCACTCAATCAAACGTACCGACAGGGCACTGAACCAAAGCAATATGCAATGCACATACATATATAAAGATATATCATATATCTGCCTGCCATATATGCCCAAATAGCATCTATCATATATATCAAGACAAGAGTTGAATGCGCTTCAAACAGAAGCTAATCAAAACAATGCGCAAAATACAACAACAACAACATCAGCTACAATAAAGAAGCTTAACTAAACGTTTCCTATGCGCCTGTTTAGAGTATTATAGTTTCGTCATGCACTTTGCACTGCCCAGAGGCAGACATGTGCGAGTTTATTAAAATTAATTTTCATAATGATGAGCAAGAGGCGATGCGACAGGAATATCATATGGGAAATACGGTTAAGGAAAGGGATTGTTGTCTCAACAACTTTTTTAATCTTCGAGAATTCTTCAGCTTCAGGCATTCATGGATTGGATTAACCTCGTTTTATATAAGCAAAAACCCTATCAATATCGGGCTACTATATCATATAGCCCTATAGCAGGAATTCTTTAAGACATCAGTTGTTTGTTTTTGTTTCTCACGATATGCTGACCAAAACATTCGCTATGCTTTTCACTAATCCACAGAAACAAAATTTTATAAGAGTATTTAGTATGCGGCTTGTCGAAAATAGTCGAAAAATAGGAAAAAAAAAATCCCAAAAAAAAATCAAATCAAATGAAACAAAAATTCCAAGCGAAATTATGACAATGATACTTGTAGTATTTGCACAAAGGGGGTGGAGAGGGGTTTTGTCAGCGAATCAACAGGTAACAGGTAGCTCAACATAGTAGCTCGAGTAGTCGACTAGGTAATGCCCAGCAATCAATTAAATGCCCCAAGCTTAAGAAATTATGTATACAAAATATTTGAAAACTTTTTAACCAAAAAAGCGACAGTTATCTGTAGCTTAAGCAACGACTGGTAAATACCCTGTAAGCAGCTCTAAAATATTTTTGGCTAAAATATATGTGCAGCGCATATGGAAATTCGAACGTGCACAAGCCATGACTGGCAAATACCCTGTAACTAGCTGTAAAAAATATATTTGGAATATGTATAGCCCAAACAATGACTGCTAAATACCCTATAACCAGCTCTAAAACAGACAGATATATATATTTGATTAAAGTATGTAAACGTGATGTCAATTAAGACCAGCATTAGCTTTGGCTGGGATACAACCTGTAACCAGATTTTGTTTAGTTCATGTGTATAAATCTTTGACTGCAAAATACCCTGTAACCAGCTCATAATAGGCAGCTATACATATTTAGTAATGACAATTAAGACCAGCATAATCTATGACTGGGAGACTCCTAGAAACTAGCTTTATATATAATAGATTAGCACAAACTATGACTGGCAAATACGCTGTACTTAATTTTGAAAAATATTTACATACTTTTGGAAATACCTTGTGGCCATCTTAATTGCAAAGTAAGCTTAAAGTTCTGAATTAATTACTAACTAAAATAAACTAAATAATATCAAATGGATAAGGCAAGAAATTATCGAGAAAGTAAGGATAATGCCGTTGAGCACATTTAGCTGTTGTGCTGTGATATGTGAGAAAACATCTGGGAAAACACAATATTTTGACAAACCTGAAGCTGCATTTCAACAGATCGTTTCCATAGCAGAAATTTACAGACGGACGGATGGACTGGGCTTTCATGACAAAATAATCATACCCTCTACAAGGGCATAAAAAGAGTTTTGTTCACACAGGAGCTCAATCCCCAAACCTTATTGGGGTCTGGCACGGAATACACTTGACTGCATTAAAGCTTCATAAAACGAATCAAAACTTGTATTCGACTTGAGCCCATGTTTAACTAACTACGCAACATTTGACTAGCCCCAGCTGGGTTTCATATACAAATATAACTGATTAGCGAGCAGTTTAGGATCTCACCGATTTATGGCATATACTCTGTTTGTGATATATCCTACAAATTGTGCCTATCTAATGCCTGCGCCTACGTCAAACACATTAAAAACCTAGCAGGGCGTCCGCCTATTATTATTGGTTATTTCGTATATGTTTAACTATTTTTAATTTCTTTTTTTTTTTTGTTTTTATATGAATATAAAGCAGAACAAAACGCATGCAAATGAACGCTTTGTGCGGCTATTAAACGGCAAATGCCAGCGCCTGATGATCTATCGAAGAGCAGAGCCTAAACTGGCACTGATTCGCATGCCACAGCTCTATAAAAGATATAAAAAAAATTGAGAAGAACATGCCGAACTATACAAACAACTATTTTACTTTCAATCATAAAAATTATAAAAAAAAAAAACGAGAAAGTAAAGATATCTACGGCGCGCCGACGACTCAATACTCTTGTTGACATCTCCCTTTTGCAGATATGTGAGAAAGTAAGAGTTCGTAAAGGCTAGATTTGTTGAATGTACCTTGAAAAAACAGAATATTTTACCTAACAACCTAATTTTTCTGCCTTTCAAGCGATCTTTCCAATAGCAACTATATGATATAGTTGTCCGATTGGGCTGCTGTCAACATATCCAAAAGCGAGTCAGACAGACAGTCGAACAGATGGACGGACATGACTATATCAGTAGATATTCTCTATGGGATCGAAGATGTCTACTTCTATGCATTACATATTGCAGGACAAACTTATAATACCCACTGCTAGGGCATAAGAATAGAGCGGCTGCCGAAACAAAAGCCGCAGAAAGGGCATAAAACTGTCATAAGCGCAATGACTTAGCTGGGCCGAGCCAAAAAAAAAACCAGATCACAATTTAATAGATCCAACCATTTATGATCTTTTAGACAACAACAGCAACAGCAAGACCAGCCACAGCAACAGCAACAACAATAACAATTATTGCAATCAAAAATTCAAAAATATTTTTATTTGATTTAAACTTTTTTTTTTTGGTCAATCAATGCATAATTATGGTCAACACAAAAGCCGCTGAATTTTTTTTATTATTGTATACCATTTTTTTTTTTTGATATTTATTTATTTATTATCAATTTGGCAGCTGGCCCCCACCCCGGCGACTGCCCCTCCCCCGCCGCCCGACAAGCACTAACAATTGCAATTCTCTAAGAATAATGTTTTCATTCGAGTGCGATTATTGCTAGGCTTTTCGTATACTAGACAATCGATTGAACGACTTTGGTATACCCTGTAAACATGAGAAGTGAAGTGTTGCTGCGTTCTACTGAGAAATTATAGCAGCTGCTGTTGGAATTTATATAGCTCTAATTTAAATACAAACTAAAATAACGTTATTTTTTCCTTAACCTTCGGCTAATGTTTTACCGGGAAGACTACCTGTTATACCCTGTATTATAAATCAGCATCTAGATCCGCATGCTAGATAGCCTTACAATAAATATATATTAATATCAGTTTCTTGGTCAGCGTTTACTTAGTCAGCTTATCGGAATGCGACAATGCGACGCTTAAAGTGAATAACCTGAGTAGGATTAAGTTTTTGAATCTTTCAATACCATTTTGTTTATAAAGAACTGAAAAGTAGCGTGACAAATCAGTTGCCGAATCAGGTGTCGAATTAAACGAGTGTTTTCGGTATATTTTTAAAGTTCATTATTAGAGTCGAGCATTGCCGGGTAATTTATTTATATGTACAGACTGGCTTGGAGAAAAGAATCGACTCCTCAAAGTTTTTGCTTTACATGAGCAAATTCGAGATGAACTTTAATATTGGAGGGAAAAAAACTACAAATACAAGGCTTGATATTAATTTTGCACTTAAAATGTGATCTATTTTTAGTCTTTGGTATTACAGCAAGAAATTAGTTAACCGTCGCCAAAGGCTGCATTTAACAAGAAATCGTTTATTTTCTTATAATTGAAATCGATAAACGATGAAAGTTAATTAATGAGAAAATAATATTAAAAGAGGAAATGAAAATATTTGCATGCAATTTTCGGTGTTTTTTCATTTATTTATTTTCTTGTTCGCTTTTTTTTTTTTTTTTAATTTTCCTTAACGCTTCTTTTATTTTTGGTTGTGACACATCGTTTCTGGCTGATGATAATTTTTAATAAAATGCTTTATCATAGTCATAAATGTCAGCACCCTGCGGCAGTGTGTGTGCGCGTGTGTCTCTGTGTGTGTGTGTGTGGGTGTGTGTGTCCTATTTAAGCAACATTTGGTTGAGGGCAATCGCGAGAGCACGAGCGCAGGACGAAACACTTTTGCATAACTAAATGCCTGGCAATCTGTATCATCTCTTCAGCTGCCAGAGACGCACACACGCACACACACACACACACACACACACACACACACACACAGGACACAACACATTCACACACACACTGATTTGTCAAGCATTTGGGTATGTTGTGTTTTTGACTCTTAGGTTTTTGCCTTAATTTATATAACAGTTTATTGCTTAAGTCAACATTGCGATACCCTGTAAAAAATGGTGCAGCTGCCCTCGATAGACACCTGCTAAGCTATAGGGTATAGAAAAATACCTGATGCCTGCGGAAATGCAAAATTTCCAAGTACCAAGCGTCTGCTGCGATTTCAGAAAGTTTCTTTCGCATTTGTCTCTTACTCTGCGCGTTTGCCGAAAATCGATAACTATCGTTCATCGAGCGCAGCTAGCCAACAATTAATTAATGTGCATAATCAGCTTTAGCTAGAAAATGCGTGTATGTTTCTGGCTACAGGGTATCTGCCGGTCGGGCAGCACGGCTTTGCATGTTTTGATAGCGGCTTTTGGTTTAGTCAAGTTGTTAGTTTGTTGCTGCTGTTGTGTTTGTGGCGGCTTAGTTTGCGACACACAGACACACCTATGCACACACACACACACACACAGACACAGGCGCACAGCCAGAGCCGGAGTTATGCATATGTATGCGTATTATTTAGTTGGAGATGCTTTTGCGCTTTTTTTGCGGTCGCTTTGCTGTGCTAATGACACTTAGAAAAACCACACACACAAGCAGCTTGCCTTTCCCCCTTGGCCGACCCACCCACTGGCGCCACCCACGTTGGCCGCGCGACATTAACATTAACATTAGGCTAAGGCGGCCATTTCAGCTGCCACGCCTACACAAAACAAGAGCGAGCCGCATATTTGAAATTAAATTACTTGCAAAAAAAGCGTGTAAATTGTCAGTGAATGACGCACCCTGCCCACCGTTGCAGGCGCCCTTTGGACGCCTTTATCTAATGCTAAGCTCAAGTTTGTTGTGTTTTTTTTTTTTTCTGGAGTTCCCTTACCCTCCCCCCCCCCCCCTCCTGCCCGACACACACACACACACACACGTCTTTTTTTTTGGCACTTTGCGGGCCAACGTGGCGTATGCGTAATGTGCTCGGCGTTCAAGTGCGCCAATGCAGTCCCACAAGTGTGTGTGAGTGTGTTGTATGTGTGTAGGTTTGTTGTGTGTGTGTGTTGTGTGCGTGTAGGTTGTGCGTGTTATTTTGAGTGCGTGTGAGTTGTGTGTGTGTTTGTGTGTGTTGTGTGTGTTTTGTGTGTGTGTGAGTGTGTGTGTGTGTGTGTGCTGTGTGTGTGTGTGCTGTGTGTGTGTGTGTGTGTGTGTGTGTGTGTGTTTTGTAAGTATGTGTTAGTTAACGTGTGTGTCTGTGTGCGAGTAGCAGGCGCTAATTGCATGTTCGACGGCTTTTCTTAAATCTTCCGCAATTCGCATGCGACTTTCGCTTTCCGCATGAAATTTTGTGGCATCGCGCTTATTACGTATAAATCACGCATTTCTGGCCAAGTCATGCTGTTAACGGGACCTGAGCACGCCGCATAACAGGCTCCGGGGCAAGCCGTGCCGCAGACATAGCCGCAGCCGGAGCCGGAGCCGGAGCCACTGGCGTTAGTCATCATTGCGAACAGGCGTGCAATTACAAAAAATGATTTTCCGACTCTCACAGCACAGTCTGTGGCAGGCTCTTAACCGCCGGCTCTCTTTGTCGCACTCTCTGTTGCTCTCTTTCTCTGTCTCTTTACATTCACAGTCTGGCGCTCTGTGCAGTTTACGCTCTAACGCTGTTAGGTTAACAGACACTGTTAAGTTGCTCTTACTTGCATGTCCTGCGCAATGCTGCCAACAGCTGTGGGCCAGTGCTGCCCATGCGGCGCACAGAACTGTTATACAACAGGGCGGGCCGTTTGAAATGTTAAATAGAACTGAATAGAGACAACACTGCGAACAGTTCGTTGAACTCGCGCTGAGGCTGGTTCCAGTTCTGATTCTGTCTCTGGCACGATTGTCTGTGTACCAATTACGTTTACATTTGGCTGCGCTGACGGCGTGCGCCTTATCTAAAGCCCCAAGTCACGATTTCAATTTGCAAAGCGGCCCAAAAATCGATCTATTGATTTCATATTCAGCACTCAAAGTGGACGACATAAATCAAAATCTGCTTAGACAATATGCGACATAAATAAACCAACAAACAGTGGCTTAGTCAAAAAGGGGAGCGAGTTTGGCGAACACGCAAAGAACATAACTTTTTCAATTGGCATTGAATATGCTAGTAACATTTATAAAATTTCGATTAGTCATATAACAAATTTAGCTATTTACGTTTGAGCTCGATTCTCACCGAATATAATATATTTTATATCGCTTTACAAAAAAAAATTCTAAATAACCTCTTTACCTTTATTACCTGCTCATATATATTTGTGAGCCTTCACCTGTTTATTTCTTAAACTCTACAGAGCTTTAACCCCATGTTAATATTCAGACACTTTCGCTTATCTCTTTACACATTGTCACATTATTTCTTTAACGCAATTCCACTCTTATTTCACGCAGAAAAACTTCTCTTAAATATGGTATTTCCGTAATTTATTACTGTTTTTCTTTCCTTTTCTATAGATCGCAACTCTAAATTCACTTTGCATGCGACTAGTAGCACACCCCAGTTTGAGCCCCCTTTGCTGACGCCACTGCTCGCCTCTTCTTGGCCGCGGTTCTCCGGCTTAATGTCTTGAAGCCGGCTTGCGGAAATACTTGGCCAAGGCTGTCAGCGAAACTGTGGCCCTTTTGGCATGCGTAGCATGTAAGTGGCCTCCACTTGTCGGATGATTAATCAGTCGACAGTCTGACAATTAGCCACACTGGCCAGACCCCGGGGCCCAATTCCAGGCATTCGCTGAATGCAATCATCACACAACCCACACACGAATGTGCCAGAACGTTAACACGACGCCTATGTGCGTCTAGGCCCTATGAGAGTGGAAATAAAACCCGCTTGCATTGCGGCAAGTGCAAGTGCGAAGAACGCACAAAGCGCACGAGACGATGGCAGCAGAGAGCGAGAGACAACCGCAATGCGTAGACTCCTTTGCATACGCAGCTTTTTAGAGATGAGCAGTTGACGGTTACTAGTTACTTGTAACGGTTAACGAATTGCAGTTAAAAAATAACGGAATATAAAGAAACTGGAAAAGATATCGACTCCACAGTCAAATTTAAGAAAATAATAATTAAAATAATAAAAACACCTGCAAACATACATGTACGTTAACAATTGGCAAATACTGTTATTGCAGCGCCCTTAAAAAAAAATCACAGTTACGCGCATCTCCAATGCCAAAGGCGGCAGAAGCGACGCTTCGACGCTGACAGCGACGCCAACACCGACGCAGCGCGCATGCGTAACTACGTAAAGCGATCAGTGGCAGCAGCTGGCGCAGCAGAGCCGAGGCAGAGCCGCCGCTTCAGTCGCAGCGACGCGCGCTGAGCACGACGACGCATTCGATATTACAAAAAAATAAGACGGGACTCGGAAGCGTATTTACTTTGACTGTTGTTGTTGTCGCCAGGGTTGTTGTTGTTGTTGTTGTCGCCGTTGTTGAAGCTGTTGAAATTCGAGCGCAAATCGACAAACGAACTCAGAACGCTGCGGCTGCGCAAACGCAAAGCACGCGCCAGTCACACACTCCAAATCCAAATTCCAATTCCAATTTCGAATTTCCAATACGCAGAGTGTCAGCTAAAGGTCCACCTTCCAGTGTCTGTGTCAATTCCAACGTCTAGTCCAACGCATCCGTATCCTACGTGCAGCGCGTGAACATTCCATTACAGTGCGTGTATTTTCGTGTGTCGCTTGCAAAAATCCTTCGTTTTTTTTTTTTTTTTAATAATTTAAACTCGGATATTTTTTTTAAATATTTTTTTTTTTTAAAAAGTGCCCGTTGCCAAGTGCAAAATCGATTTGACGCAAATATACAAATATTTTGTTCGAAATTCAGGTAAACTAATATTTTATATGAAAATATTTCTTCAGAAAATAAGAAGCAAACAAAATAATAATTCACGAATTTTCCAAATAATTTGATTTTGATTTTGTTTGTGTATTAGTGTGCGTGCGTGTGTGTGTGTGTGTGTCTGTTGCCAGACCTTGAAAAGTTTTATTTTTAAATTTTGCTCACATCAAGAAATGCATAAAGTGCAATGTGCAGAAAATATTTTTTACGCTATTATTGTTTTTTTTTTTCCTTTTGTTTATCTCTTGTGCATTTATTTTGTTTTGTTAATGATTATTGTGCTTTTTTGACATTTATTACAAGAGACATAAATATTTCTTAAACTGGAAAGCAAGACTTAATTCATTCCATTTTTCCAGAAATTGGAATTAATTTTGGAAATTAAGAGTTCAAACCCACGTCTCTTCTTCGAGCGTCGGTTTAGTTGGGTTATGTTCGGTTGGGTTGGGTTAGGTGAGATTCATTGAACACTAAATAAAACCTTCCAATCCATATTTTTTTTTGTTTTTGGATATTCCAGTCCCTTGAGTCAGGAGAGCAGAAGGACGTCTTTTTAGAAACGACTTCATTCTTCTGTCTTCTAGTTCCTGCTCCAATTGTTGACGCTTTCTGGTATAATTTACACTAAAATTCTACCTATGTCTGCGCTGCCTAAGATATTTCGTTCTGTTATTCAACTTCGAGTCGAAATGCCTTCGTCTGCCTTCTGCGGGGCTGTCAAAAGCGTTCAAAGTCAACGCATTTGGGAATACACCCGACTGGCATACTAAAGAGCTTCGATGCCGAATGCACAGTAAAGATATTTTAACGCGTGTGTTGTGTGTGTGTTGTGTGTGTGTGTGTGTGTGTTGTGTGTGTGTGAGTGTGTGCATTGTGCAGTAAATAGAATTCCGCTACACACAACATTCGAGGGTTTAGCGCTTAGTATTGTCGCTTCTTTTTTGGGTTTACGAGTAAAAGAGAAAAAGAAGAGAAAAACAAGCGGGCATCACTGTAGCCGACTGCGCAATACTCTACGCAAATCCTAAAAATTGGTATTCAATCAAGGCCAATTTATCAATTTATATTCATATTAGTTTGATTCAAATTAAAAGAGACTCAGTTCCAAATCCAGACAAGTTGGGATACAAATTATGTAGATACGAATATTGTTTAGATATCAAATTGTTCAGAAATCTTATGAGAATCAATGAGGTTTGCAATATTTTTATTAAAAAGTTGTATTGTTTCTTTTAAATTTCAAAAGGTTTGAACCAGTAACTGGGTTCTAAGATGTGGAGAACTAGTTATATGCGTGAGGCGAACTAGCAACATTTTGCTCCTTTTTTTGGTTATAAAGCCCCAACTTGAGCTAAGATTTATGTATTTTGTGTGGAGCGACTGTGGGCGTGGCCACAACTATATTAACTCGATCTTTCAAGCATGTTATAGACCTTTGTTTCGTCGAAGATGTCGTTCAGATTTCGTCTGAAACAAATATACACACATATATATTCAAGCTATATAATCTCTAGAGCACAAAGCTAATATGCTCATTTTCAATTTGTGAACAGAGCATTACAATTGAGAGAAATGTCAACTCTGGGGCCGAGCATTGGGTTTTATGTGGCCCCAAACACATGCCCCGCAACCACAACTCACAGCGATTTGTGCATTTCAATGAGCTCTTAATTGTAATTAAACAAATTGTTTTTTCTTCTGTTTTTTTTTTTTTTGTCAACTTGGCTCTGACTCAAAGCATTTAGCCAGAAGGCAAGTTGGTAACCAGTCAAAATAATGCTCGAATGCTCGATAATCGCATTGACTAAAATAAAAAAAAAAAAAAAACTAAACAATTTATATGCATCACGTCGCGCCCATTGTTATACTCCCGAGGGGGCGGTGCTTTGAGGGGTCTGCAATCGCACGAATCACCCGTTTTTGGTCGAACATTTTTGAAAAGAAAGCAAAAGTTAAATATTTTCGTTGGCCTATTCGGGAAATGTTCAGTCATCGACATGACGCAAGAAAATGCCAATACACATTTTACTTTCTTTCCGTAGCCCACAGATTGCCCCGGACGAACAAAGCAAAACTTCAAAACAAAAAAAGAATCTCAGATATAGGAACTTAGAAAAACTGAAAAAAAAAACTCTATAAAATGGAATTTCTTCTCAGTCTTTAGTATAGAAAAGGAAAGTGTGCACTTTAATTACAATCAAAAAAAGAAGAGTAAAAAATAAACAAAAATTCCTAAATATTAGCAAAAATATCGTATGTAGATAACATGTTCTCTCTATAGAACAGGGTTTGTTTTGAGTAACTGATTGATTGAAGAGCTGTCTGGCCAACTGACTGACTGATTGACCGATTGACTGATTGACTGATTGACTCGACTGAATAATTGACTGACTAAATGACTGATCGATAAATCGATAAATAGACTGGATGACTTACTGACTTACTGACTGACTGACTGACTGACTGTGTGATTGATTAATCAATTAATCAACTGAGTGACTAATTGACTAATTCCCCGATTGACTGATTAATTGACTGATTGACTCACTAATTGACTGGTTGACTAATTGACAGACTGACTTACTGATGATCATTACCCATCGTTTGTTTGTCATTGGGTTGAAGCTAAAAAAATCCTTATGTAAATGATTTGAGAGGAAATTTCGCACTATTTTTAAATTCTTTCCTGCCGAGAACCTCATATATGCATACATATATTTAAATATAAACAAATATAAGTATTAAATCTATGCGAAATGTCGTTGGAGACGCAGGTTCAAGGTTCAAGGTACGTGAGCATTAAAATAATTAGCACGAATGGGAAACACTAGACAATTGATGTCTGGGGCCGCACAAGTCCGAAATGATGTTCTGTTGGCTCCTTTTAATAATGTATAGCTTTGATGCTTTGATATAGCCTAAGAGCTTGGCAAACAGCTGATCACAGGCCCAGTTAGCCGTGTTTCAGCCAGCTGACGTTGGGTCTTTCACTCAGCTGGTTTTTGGCCACATTCGCTTGACCTTGACCACATTGTCCGAACGTTCGACGCGTAGTGTCAGTTATCATCTCTCTGCATCTCATTTAAAAGACGGCAAAAGCGGCTTTTTACATTTTTAGCTTTATAAATACATTATTTTAAATACCAAAAGTGGCCAGGATGCCACAATGGCTGGGTCCAGTTAAGCCAGGGTCATCAATTGTGGTCAACAACAGCTGAAATAACTTGTTCCCACGCCTGTCAGGCGATTGCTTCTTCTTCAATGCTATTAATTACGATTTGCGGACAAGGCATTCTGTCCAAAATTTTAGTTATACATAGAGCCAAATTTAATTAATATACATATACAGGTAAATATTCAATTCTAATTGGCAATTGTTTAAGACATTTATTTATTTGCGGTTAAAATGAGCAGAAGAAGAAAACCAATTGACACATTGACACATTTTTTTTGCCTTGAAACACAACAACATGTGTATATAGTTTACACACACACACACACAAATGTGTGTGTGTACTCAGCAATTGAGGTGGGCGGAGGCAAAGGGTCTGTTAGCTTTTCAGATCACAGCTATCAACCGATCGATCGATCGTTTGACAATCGATGTCAGCGGCATTTGTGCGACCGTTCGATTTCATTATAAAATTTACGCATGTTTGATGGATATACCACTCCATGTAGCAGTCCGTGTGCACCCACTCAGCGCTACGTGATCCGCATTGCAGATATATACATATATATATAGGCATATACATATAAAGATGTATATATGTACAGTCAATGGCCAACGAAGCGATAACAAACACTTTGGGAACGAATCGAATTCACGCGAACTGCAAAATTTCTAACGACAATTGAAATTTCGCAAGCAATTCTTACAACTAGCATATAAACATTGCATAGCTATCGTTTTTGATTGAATTGTATTGTTATCGATAACTTAGTTATCAGTTATCGATTGCTTGTTACTTGCTTGATTCTTAGATTTCATGGCTATGGCTAGTTAAAGTTATCGGCCAAATAGTTATCGCTCGTGAACTTATCGATTTTGTGCAAGCATCGTTTGTGATGTCAATTTATAATCGATCGTCGATTAGGCAAAGACATCATAATAGAGATATCGATAAGTTCGTAATCGAAGCCACAAATGCGATACCAAGAAGCTTCTAAGATTCTTGGATAATAAATATGCTTACCTACATATGTAGATGTTATCGACGCCCAAATATATAAGCATCCGATACATTACAGACTTTACTCTTTGTAGCTATCTGAATAGTTGCAAAACGGCAAACAAAAGATAGAATAAACGTGTTAGATCTAATCGGAGCTTATTGCTGTCTATTTTGATAGACATTTACATTTTGGTTGACTTATTTATTGTCGGTTTATTAATGAGCTCGTCAGGTCCATTAGTCGCTTTATCGGCAGACTCGAGCGGTCCGCTAATAGGGCTCAATGGTCCAATATAAATATACAAATACTATATATATATTTTTGGTCATGTCTGAAGATAGCAAAATGCAAATCAACAACACGAATTTCATTTAATTCGTTGTTTATCTTGCCGTTTGTTTTGTTTGTTATTTGTAGATTTGTGCCAGTTCTTGACTGAAGCGCGGGCGTCTTTCTCTTTTCTAAAATCTGATGTTGACCTATCCAGAACCAATCCCCGAAAAAAAAAACAAAATCAAAAGAAAGCAACGTAACCGAACCCAATTAGTGAGCCGGTTAATTTGCCGCGTAATTAATTCGCTCGTGCCAAAGCAGAAACTGATAAATAATGCGAACAAAGCTCAAAATCCGTTTCTTCCAGTTTCAATTTGTAAATCAGTTTTTCGTTGCGACCTCGAAAATTATTTGTATATATTTCCCCGAAAATTGTTAACAATTTGTCATTTGCGGCCAGACAAAAATCGTGACTTGCCCAAATTCTATTTGGTTTCATTTTATTATTATGCGTAACGCCCAATAATTATATTTATTTATTGACTTTGTTGTTGGTTTTGATTGAGTTTTTTTATAAATTATTAGACTGTCCAAATGTGTATGCATATCAGCATTTCTTCAACATCATATACAAGTTCATTGGCGCCAAAATTTGCATACATTTCTAAGATTCAATTGCATTTATTTATTTATAATTATATAATCAATTAATTATATATATATATTTTTATATAATCACCCCAGAAATATGATAACATAAAGAAAGATTATTTGGCATAGAAACAGACAGACATACAAATGGATAGACAGACATGTCTAGAATATACTTTATGAAGTCGGCAGCTTAACCCTGCTTCGTAGCTTTAACTAGTTGCGAATTGCAACGCAACACATGAAATGAGGCAAAAACAAGGCCTGATTTTTACCTATTGCAAGCAAACAATTTCTTCTACTTCTATGATATCCGATTAATATGTATATATATATATATATATGTGTGCACCTTGGTCTATAGAAACAAGCACTTAAACGAACTCTTCCCCTTCGTGTGCTCTGCTGTTTTTTCATTTAAACGATTGCGCAAGAGACAAGAAAAAAAACCACGCACAAAACGAATTTTTTTTTTTTGTGGGGCAACATGTAAATCGGGACCTGTCAATTGCACAACACCAAAACAAAAACAAGAAGCAGAGGGCCACAAAGTCAACAAAAAATATATTTCGCATGCCAAAGGAAACCAACAATTAAACAACAACAACAACAACAACAACAATAATAAAAATAAAAACAACAACAAACTCAGCGCTTGGCGCTTGGAGAGCTCCTTTTGGCAATTTGCTTAATTTACAACTTAATTCCTGCAATGATTTTCAATTTTTCGGCATTCGACGCGAAATAAAAAATATTTCGTGCATTTTAATTTGCCAGGCAATTATTTAAAACGCTCTCGCATGCATTTGTAATTATTTAGTCGACAGCAGAATACCCTATATTTTTTTCATCAAGGCGCAAGACAATTTTTTGTTTGAAGGGCACAAAAACAGCTTTTACCAATTGCGACGAGGCGCATGTTAAGGTAGTTTCAATTAGATATTAAAACAATTCAGTTTCTAAATATTTTTTGAAAAGACTCGCCTGATCGCCTGACATTAACTTACGCCCAGCCTTGGCCATGGCAAGTTTTAAATGCAACTTTTTCACCCAATGCCCGCCCATGAAAAATTTAAATCTACCCTTACTATCTTGAGCACCACGACTATTTGAAAATGCATAACGATATAAATAAACAATATATCGATTAAAGAACCCTAAAGGTGAGAAGCCGAAAAAATAATAAAACGGCAAAAATACATTCTTTGAAAATGATTTTGAAGCCGATAATGGAAAATTCATCCAAATTTTCACAGTTGCGAGTGGAATTGCCAAAATTGCTGAAACTTTATTTCATTTAATTTTAGTGTAGCTCTTCGATCGGATAGAAAAACTGAAAACTTCGCCAGTTCAACCTTTCACCATACAGGCATATTCACAAAGTTCTTTGAAAATGATTTTGAGGCCAATCGAATGGTAAACAAAAAACTTTTGCATACAACCGGTTTGGAGAGTATTCTATAAGCTACTTTTGGCTTTAAATAAATTCTATTCTAATTTGATTAGCTTCAGTTAATAAAAGCCTATATCCTATCGAGCTTGTCCAGGCGTTGACAACTTTTGAGATCTCACTTAGAGCATCCGAAACTCGACTCAAGTAAAAATATTCTTGTGCAGGGGGCACTTAATCACTTACTTGGCTGCGCTTTCAATTTGCCTGTCGATTGCCGCACAGAGCTGCCTCATTGTGCGGCTGCTGCGTTGCATGCAACACGCTCAATTTGCAGACACAGACCGAAAGCCTGGTCGTCTGGCGGTTTATTGATTTCTGTTGCCCGCCCCATCATCGGCAATTAAAATTCAAGTGTTCAAGCCTAATTACATGCCAAAAGTTAATGCAAGCGCAAACAGGGCACAAAAAGCAGCTGCTTAACCAAGCAGGGAGCCTAACAGGCTCCAATTTGCCACAGAGCCATTGATTGATTCGCTCCCCGACTGGCTTTTGAATGCAGTGCATATTTTCTGGCTCTTGAAAGTGCACTAAACCTGTACGCTAACTACAACAGCTATGCATAAGATTATTATGGCTGATAAGCTCAGCTTGGAATTAGGAATACTTTGATTAACTCGAGGAATCTGCTTGTTAGATACTTTAACTCATGGGAAACCTGTATATTGACCAAAAGCAGAGCCGCATACCGAGTTTTAGCTTGCTAGCTCGCACAGGTCCCGAGATACGTAGCTATATATATTTTAAGGTTTTGACAACTTCAAGGATACTGTGCAGCTCTTTAACTTGAACAGATACTGAGAAAATTAAGAATTTCCTTTCACTTCATTTCAAATCAGAATTTATCATATTTGATTTAAAAGCAATTGCAAGAGCATCTATTCAATTTCATTACATTTCTATCTCAATTAGCTGCAGAGCTCTGCACATTCCAGCATTTTGCAGTATTTCTGTTATGCTTGACTATATTTATATATACTTAGTATATATTTGCGCGGCATCCTCAACTTTTTGGCACTTGACTTCTGTGAACTGAGTTGCGTTGTTTTGGGAATTTATGCAAATGGATGCGCACAATTCCCGTGGCTCATTATGAAAACAGCATTTCGGGCGATTATGCGAGTAGCTGTTGTTGCTTCCGTTGGTGGAGTCAATGGCCAATGGCCAAAATATGAAGAAAATAATCAAAATAAAATACAAAAATCGGAGCTCTCATCTTAATCAATATGCATATTGTGCATATTTCATTTGATGGCCGCATCACATATCTGCGCCGGCCATAAATAAATAACACTTGAACTTATAATCAGGCTCCAGCACATATCTCGATATACATGCATACATACAATATGTATATACATATTTTTAGAGAGCAGCCGCTGGGGGCCGGACCAGAAGTCGACACACCGATCATGATCTTGGGTGTCGGGATCCATGCTGTGCTCGCCCATTGCCCGCGGCTATGAAAATGAAAACCCGTTTCGCCAGACGCAATCAAATCCAGCAGCGTTTCCAGGGCGTTGCCACATGTGCGTAAACTAGATGATGCCATAAAAATGTTCACAACAACAAACGCAAAAAACAAGTAACAGTTCTCTAGTCGGCAGTGCTCGACTAAAAAATACCCTCAACCCGGCAATAGACCGATTTCCTTCCACAGATCACACATCACACAGTGAGAAATGTGTTCTTAAACTACTTCGGAATTTATAGTCCGATCTTCAGGCAATTTGCAGAGCCGACGTTTAGCACCCGAAAGCTTGTATGTACCAAATTTTGCGTATATATATCAAGTTTGATGTAGCCAACTCTTAAAATTCTCGAGTTATGTCTAAAAAACATGTCTTCAAGTATGAATATAAGCTCGATTTGAAATTTCTATAGCTTTTCCACTTTGCATATTCAAACAGACAGACATGACTAGCTCGACACAGCTCGTCGTCTAGCTTAAGAATATATGTATATCAATATATCAAATATATCAGAGATTCCACCCTCTGCCTGTTACATACATTTACACAAAAGCATAATACCCTTTTAGTCCATATGCAATGTGTCGAGTGCATTAAAAAAAAATGCTTTAAGAAATACTTAATTAAAATAAAAATATAAACAGATCGCAGGCATTGACAGTTTTTGCCCCCCGTGACAGGCGCGCGAAACATGCTGCAACATCAAAAGCTAAACCAAAAGCGAAAAACAGCCGTAAAACTGACAAGGGAAAAAAAAGAGAATAAAAAGAGGCTGATCAGGTGGATGTCCTTGCCAGTTGATACCGGGACGCTTTGACACAGTGGGATAAAAACGCCAAAAATTAAGCCAAAATGCGAAAAAAAAAATCAAATGCAGTCAAATAATCTGATAGGATATCTTCAAAAAATATAGTTTCCAATAATACGTTAACGTGCCTTAAAGAGCGAAATGAATATTTCAAAGCATATAACTTAGACCAATATATGAGGCTATATAGGGAATGTACTCAAGCAAAATAACGTCATAAAAATCATCGATAAATAACAATTGAAATCTTTATAGTTAAGTACAAGTTGTGCTTTTTAATATATATCCTATAATAAATACTTCATAAAAAGATATATATATATGTATATATTCAATATCCCATATCTTCCAGGGCCTCCCTCTTTTTTTTAATATAATTTATATACAATCAATAATTTTATATAGAACCCAATCCCAAAAGCAGTTAAGAGTTGAGTCCTTGATTAGTTGGGTCCATAAATATCGATAAGAATAGGAAAATGTAATAATAATAATTTTAATAGCATATTATTTATCATATACCAAATAATTCCGACTTCGACAAATATCGATTTTTAAGAAAACCCTAATTTGAAGACGATCTAAAAGCCATTGATGCATATCTATTTTTAAGAATGCCCTAAGCTTATCGATGCGAAATGTATTTTTAACTTCGATAAATATCGATCCTTAAAAATGCCCTAATCTTCAGATAAGATTTGACATACTTAGACTCAGTATATATAAAATTTGTATAAAATATGTAAATAAAAATGCATTCACATAATTTTTCAACTAAATCTCAATTTTGATGATCAATTGAAAAACGCTTAACCATATTTTATTAATGTGAAATTTATATAATACTTAATATACGATGTTTGATATATCCCATTGTGAACGTTGGCAAACCCGTTTTGGGCAGCAAATGCATTCAAATTTATGCGCTGTCTGTTAACTGTCTCCTTTGCCCTTTGCAGATGCGCGGCCAGACGACGGGTCCCAGTGGAAAGATGTACACAATTCTAGTTGGATTGGTGAGTTAAGCTGGACGAACAGAGAGCGAGATGAAGATAGAGAGAACCACAAGTAACCGCAACAATTGACAGGCGATGCTGTTGCCTGCGGTGCTGGGCCATGGCAGGCTGATGGATCCGCCGGCACGGAATGCCATGTGGCGCTTTGGCTATCCCAATCCGGTCAACTACAATGACAACGAGCTCTTCTGCGGTGGCTATGCGGTCCAGTGGGAGCAGAACAGCGGTCGCTGCGGCGTTTGCGGCGATGCCTACCATGTGAAATCGCCGCGACCGCACGAGGCGGGCGGCGAGTATGCCAAGGGCATCATATCGCGCTACTATACTGCCGGCCAGGAGATTGACGTTGAGGTGGAACTGACGGCCAATCATTATGGTCGCTTTGAGATGTATCTGTGCCCCAATAATAATCCCCGACAGGAGGCCACCCAGGAGTGCTTCGATCGCTATCCATTGTTCATTTCGGGCAGTCGGGAGCATCGATACCTTATTCCGCGCAACACCAAGAAGAAGGACATATTTCGCTATAGCGTCCGCCTGCCAGCGTATGTCACCTGCACCCAGTGCGTCCTTCAGTGGACCTACTACACGGCCAATATGTGGGGTACCTGCTCCAACGGCACCGAAGCCGTCGGCTGCGGCAAGGCGGGTATGTCCCGTGTGCCAAAGATATCGTGGTCCACTGCTAATCCCTCAAGCCTTTTTCTGATTCTTTTCCAGAAACGTTCCGCAACTGCGCGGACATTGCCATCATCTCCAATACGGGCGGCGGCGTACCGCCTATTTTTGTCAACAATAGATCCCCGTACTTGCTGTACTATCGTGATTATCGGGCGCCCGACGATAACAATGTGTTCCCACTGATTGTGCGGTAAGTGTTTTGGGCAACTAATTCTCGGTAATTCTAGCCGATTCATAACCGTTTTATAAGCTGCCGATGACCGATTTACATCTGGATCACGAGCTTTTGATACAGATTTATAACCGATTCGCAAGCTAACGATTTCCGATCACAGCCGGTTCACAAGCTATCGATAACTGGGCTATAGCTAATTAACCAGCTATCGATATCGATATGAACGGTTCCCGTAATCCACGTTATCCGCTTATAACCTATTCACAAGTTATCCATAGCCGGCTAACAATTTATCGTTAACCGCTTATAACTGGTTTGTCAAAAGCCGATTAATTACCGGTTCAAAATGCAAAAGGTAATTGCTTAAAACTGGTTCACGAGTTATCGATAACCGATTCATAGCCGGTTCTCAATTTGGCGGTAACCGATTATAACCGGTTCTCAAACTATTGATAACCGGTTCTTAGCCGGTTCAAGTTCAAGTGATCAATTGACATAGATCGACTATAGATCGGTTAGAAATCGTATCAAACACAATGGTCAGGGCTGCTGCTATGCATAACTGGCAGCAGTTCCTAACCGATTTACATTGAATTATTTAAGTTATTTTTACTAATACCTAACCGATTTACTACTATTTTTCTCGTATGCTCTCAATACATATCTACTTTGCTTAACGCCTTTTACTACATTCTTTACTGCTTCCCTTTCTTAGTTCCTTTTGGTTTCAATTTTATAGTTTCTAAAGCCATTCGATTTACACGGTTCACACGCAGCTGACTTATCCGAGTCCCAAGCAATTCGCTTTGGTTACATTGATTATGACCTTAACCGATTCGGTACTATTTAGTTTCTCTTCTTCTTTCTTCATACAAATCTGTTCAACAAGAAGTTTTTACTTTTATTTCCCAAAATTTCAGCAACCACTGTAGCTTCTTATTCTCTTTACAATTTAATTTCGCATCTCTTGCTAATTCTTTCTCGCAATAACTATCGTTAACTGTTTCCGCTTCCTTAACCGTTTCTATTTCAAATTTTTATAATTTCCCAATTGAAAATGCATTTCTAACTTTTGCTTCGCATTTCCATTTAGCAATGCCACGCGGCATGCGCGCAAACGCAAGCCACCAACCGCTTAACCGCTTACCCGCTAAAAACAATTTAAAAAAAAAAACGCTAAAAATCCGCTTACCCGATACACAAAAGTTTTTCTAGCTAAAGCAGCGCAGCACAAGGTCTACACGAAACGGGTAAAGGTCAACTGTAAACTGTAGATGTAAGATGCAAAAACGGGTTATGGTTGCACTCGCACACACTCGCACACACACGCACACACACACACAGACACACTTAAATATATATATAAGCTGTATATAAAGAAAATGCTTAAAATAAATTTAAATATCTAAAACTTATATAACTCGTTTTATATAGCTGTTGTTGTCTAAAGCGAAACGGTAAACCGTGCTGAGTTGTAAAAAAAAAACCAAAGAATGAAGAGTTGCCAGCAGTTTGTTGGGTTGCTTAAACACAAATTTGGTTTTGCACCGAAACGGTTAAGTGCTTAATAAATATTCCATATAATTAGTTTAATTAAACGAATCGGTTATAACCGATTCGAATTGCAAAGGAAATGGTCAAAGTGTTGCCAGAGCTTTCTACGGATAAGCATAAAAAATAACAATTATGAGGTTTACTTTCCAGATTGAAATTAAAGAGTGAGGCAGGGGTATTTCGGGCTTTAAAAAGTTCAAATATGCTTAGCCATTCTTCAAGGTTTGTTTTCTCCGACGCCCAATAATTATCAGAGCTTGCAGGGAAAACAAATTTGAAATATACTTTTTGAAGATTTTTTTTTTCAAATTTAAATTTAAAGTTATGAGGCCAAAGTTTACTAAACGATTTCTTTCTGTCCATTTTAGAATATTTCCAAAACGAAACGGTTCAGCTTATAATCAAGCTGAACAATAAATGGGTTCTTTTTTTTCTTTAAAATGATTTTAAAGGCATTTGTCAACGTTCCTATAGAGCTTGCCTAGTGTGCTGTTGAGGCTAAAAGATTAGATATTTACAGTGAATACTTCAGTTACACATGAAATTTTATTAACATTCGGCCCTTGACCTTTGACCCATAGCCCTCAGTGGGTAGCTAACCGACAAATCAAGTCACATATTAAACATAAGGAAAACAAATTACAAACCAGAAAATAAATAAAGCGCACACGTCCAAAGGGGCGGGGGCAGGAGGACGAGATAAGCCCAGCCCGCACCTAAATACTCCGCACACCGCAATCTATAACCCGCAATCTTCAACCTGCAACCCCTGCACACCCCTGCACACCCCTGCATCCTCTGCACCCCTTGCACCCCCACACCCCGGCGCACTTGTTTCGCCACCCCCTCGCACAAAATAGCAAAGACAGAAGAAAAAAAAAAATGAAAATGGGATAAATACATTTGGGTGCGAGCACAGATGGAAACCGCTGCACACAGCCTGTCCGCCTGGCTGGTCGTCTGTGCCTCAGCAGCGTATATCCGGATAGGTGAAGGCCATGATGAGCACCAGAAAGACGGCCACTTGCACAATGCCGACGAGCACGGTCTTGAGCAGCTGCGTCTGGACCCTTGGCTCCAGCTCCGTACCGTTCGATTTGAGCGGCGCCACCCGGCGCGGATACGTGCGCCGTTTGGCCAGCATGATCTGCATAGGCTTTGGCTTGGGACGCTTCCAGCGCGACAGATTGGCGCACTTAATGCTGGCTACCTTGCCCAGCGAGCTGTGCGAGGAGCTGGCCCTCGGCTCCGACTCCGGCTCCGGCTTTTGCTTCAGTTCCAAACTGTTGGCCGGCTTACATTTGACGGCGGGCAATAGCAAACGCTCGACATCAGCGCTGGACCAATTGATGGGCTCCTTGACCCCTGGCGAACGCACCGAGAGCCGTGTATAGGGCGTCAGGCTAAATGGCAGCTGTCCAAATGGCAGCTGGCTGCTGCCGCCGCTGCCGCCGCCCGTTTCTCGGGCCGGCAACAGCTTATCCATGACCGGCGCCATTTGGCAGCCGCCCAGCTGCGGTTCACCATAGCTGACCATGCTATTGAAAAACATTGCATCCTGTTCGAGCAAATTGAAGGGACGCGCCGGCGTCAATGGCCGCAGTTGCTGCAGCAGCACATTCGGATTCTCGCGCAGCATCCGGAACGAGGTGCGCTGCAGTCCGCCGCCCTCGGCCAGCGGCATATAGAAGCACTGCATCTCATCGGCGGTCTTCAGCTCGGTCAGGGTCTTCGTCTCGATGCGATATTCGCGCACACAACCAAAGCAACGGGCATGGTAATTGATGCGGGCGCATTGCCACATCGCCGCCAAATGCTCGACGCGACGGCATCCGAAGTAGACAATAGGCAGCGCCTCGTAGCCGTTCAGGGTGAGCGTCGAGCGCGGCGTATAGAAGATGCTATTGGATTCATAGCTGTTGAGGCCCTGACGCGGCGTTGTTGTCGGATTGTTGGCCCGCAGCGTTGCCTCCAATTTCTCGCCGAGCTGCTGCAGAAGTTTGATTTCGCGCTGCAGCGTCGGTATATTCTGCCAAACCATTTCCATTTCCAGTTTGCGTTGCTCCTCTGCCTGTGAATTTTGCACCAGATGCAGCTGACGTTGTTGCTCCTGCTGTCGATCCCGTTCCCGTTCCCGGTCACGCTCACGCTCATGCTCCAGTTCCTGGTCGGATATGGGCTGCGGCCGTAGCGCACGCTCGGTCAGCAACAGCAGCTGCTGCTGCCGCTGGCGCACATCCAGCAGCTGTGTCTCCAGCTCACACTGATTACCGCCCGCCAGCTCCGGCTGACGGCGAGCGCTGCTGCAGCAGCTAAACGATTCACTGTCAGCGAGCTCCACATCGAGATTCTCATCGGTGCAATCATCGGCCAGCTGTAGCTGCTGTTGCTGCTGCTGGTCCACATTGTCGACGCTGTTGCGCAATGGTCGCACCATCAGCAACTCCTTGACCTTTTTCACCGGCTTGCACAGATAGACGAAGCTCTTGTTCTGCTCGTCCGGCAAACGGAACGCCTTGGCCAGCTTGATCTTGCGCAGCTCGCTGCTGCTGTTGCTCAGGCAGCAGCTGCTGATGAGGCTGCTGCTGCTGCTGCTGCTGTTGCTGCTGTTGCAGTTTTTCACAATTCCGTTGCCGGCCACAATGCTGTTCAGTTCCAGCGGCTGCTCCAGCTCCAGCTCCAGCTCCAGCTGTTTCTGCTTTTGCTGATACAGCTGATGCTGTTGTGGCTTCACTGACTTCTCGACGCTGTGGTCACAGCCGCCGGTCAAATGATGGCTGCTTTTGGGCTTCTTTTTGAACGGCGATTTGCTGCGTGTCAATAACGACTTTGTCATGTTGCTGCTGTTAAAGTTGCTATTGTTGTTGTTGACATTGCTATTGTTGTTGGCCGCCAGCTTAGCCACGCGCGGCAAAAAGTGACCACGTGTGCCGCCCATGCGTCGATTGGCATTCACCTCAGCTGCAGCAGTTGTTCCATTGCTCAGCGGTCGGTTCACAGTATTCAGATTCGTAAGGCGTTTCGAGCGATTCGTGCCAGTAGCTGAGCAGCAGTCGCAGCAGAATGAGAATAATAGAGAGAGATGGAGATAGAGATAGAGTGAGAGGGAGAACTAAAGGTAGAGGGAGTTGTAAAGGGAGAGATAGAGATAGAGGATAAAGGATAAAGGCTAGGGGATAAAGGCTAGGGGATAAAGGCTAGAGGATAAAGGCTAGAGGATAAAGGCTAGAGGATAAAGGCTAGAGGATAAAGGCTAGGGGATAAAGTATACAGGATACAGGATACAGGATACAGGATACAGGATACAGGATACAGGATACAGGATACAGGATAGAGGATAGAGGATAGAGGATAGAGGATAGAGGATAGAGGATAGAGGATAGAGGATAGAGGATAGAGGATAGAGGATAGAGGAGAGAGGATAGAGGATAGAGGATAGAGTAGTAGAGGATAGAGGATAGAGGATAGAGGATAGAGGATAGAGGATAGAGGATAGAGGATAGAGGATAGAGGATAGAGGATAGAGGATAGAGGATAGAGGATAGAGGATAGAGGATAGAGGATAGAGGATAGAGGATAGAGGATAGAGGATAGAGGATAGAGGATAGAGGATAGAGGATAGAGGATAGAGGATAGAGGATAGAGGATAGAGGATAGAGGATAGAGGATAGAGGATAGAGGATAGAGGATAGAGGATAGAGGATAGAGGATAGAGGATAGAGGATAGAGGATAGGGATAGAGGATAGAGGATAGAGGATAGAGGATAGAGATAGAGGATAGAGGATAGAGGATAGAGGATAGAGAGGATAGAGGATAGAGGATAGAGGATAGAGGATAGAGGATAGAGGATAGAGGATAGAGGATAGAGGATAGAGGATAGAGGATAGAGGATAGAGGATAGAGGATAGATAGATAGAGATAGAAGATAGAGGATAGAGGATAGAGGATAGAGGATAGAGGATAGAGGATAGAGGATAGAGGATAGAGGATAGAGGATAGAGGATAGAGGATAGAGGATAGAGGATAGAGGATAGAGGATAGAGGATAGAGGATAGAGGATAGAGGATAGAGGATAGAGGATAGAGGATAGAGGATAGAGGATAGAGGATAGAGATAGAGATAGAAATAGAGATAGAGATAGAGATAAAGATAGACATTCTAGCTTCCCTAAAAAATTCTAACTCCCTGTACACAACAATCCTTGTTCCACAAGTCGAATACAATGAGAATCGCATTCTTGCTTAACTTCGGTGCTTATAGTCGATCTTAATGAAATTTTCTCGGCCTAATCTCAGATCTCGCTCGTCTTCTTTACCGATTGCTCTGAAAGTTTCAGTGCATTGAGTTTAGATTCAACCGGGGGCATGTAACTAAAACTGCGGCTATACTTTTTAAAAATCCCTGCGAAATCGAGGCATCAAAGCTTAAGCTGGAATATAAGAACCAAAGATGCCAACAGACAGACGAGCGGACATAAAAGGGGGTAAATTTTCTAGTCATTTCTATATTTCACATCCACCAACTTACCCACTGGGGGCCGCTGCATGAGCTCCGTTCTGGTGAATGTCGTTTTGCGCAGTGCGTTCAACGCATTACCCATTTGAGGGCTAACCGAGAGGGGCACTTGGAGGACCTGCGGCAGTCCATCATTTTCGCGCTCGTGCCTCATATGATTGAAGCGTGTACGATTCATTTTCATGCTACCCCACCGCTAACTCTTTTTATCTCGTTGACTTTCTGTTGTTTCTAGCGATTACCCGTTTTTCCGGTTCCGTTTCCGTTTACGTTACGATTTTTTGCGAAATTTTGGATTGGATTCTTCCTTGCGTTGGTTTATGTACTGAAAATAATTGCATGTGTTTTTGCGTGTGTGCGTGTGTGTATGAAAATTGACTCTGCCCAAAAGAAAAACGTGTGACTGTTCGATGAAAAATATAGTATTGCCCGGAGCTCAGTTGACATCCATGTCGGAACGGAAATATGTACACAGTGTGAAGGCAAATGCAAATGTGAGAAGTTTTTAGGAAACATTCAAAAATCGTTTAGCTTATCCAAACTTAACAAATTAACAAATTGGCCTGCAGGCTCTTTTTACCATGTTCCTTGCAAAGTTACCAGCAACCTTATATTGCTGCCATATATGTTTTTATTTTTCAAAAAACAAGCTTTCGCTTTCAGCTGATGCACTCAGCAAATATTTGTGAAGGCATTATTTACTGGCTGCATCAGAAAGACGGGCCTTTGTAATGTTTCAGGACGATAGCTTTAAAACTAGTTAGTTAGACTAGTTAGTTAGACTAGACATAGCAACAGATAGACGGACGGACATACAGACGAACGGATAGACGGACTTGGCTATATGAACTCGACTTTATGGGGTCGAAAATTTCTCCTTCTATGCATTAGACAAAGAGAATGCCAAATTTGTTATACCCTCAACTCAATGCCTAGACCCCAATAAATGTTGAAAACATATACAACAATATTTACGTATCTACTTTGACTTCTATATTGGACAAGATGGGGTTTATGATTCGGTAGGCCTGACAGAAATGTATGTATCGCAGATTCAGAAAAGTGAAGAAATTCAAAAAATACTCATAATAGACAAGAATAATGTTGCCAGATTTAGATGCCAAATTGATCTCGAGGCCAAACCACAAACAAAAAGACCGATTTATGAGCGTGAGAAATTTCGACCTAAGTCTATATAGGATATTCGAGGGTACAATTTTTACGATTTGAGCTGTGAGCTGAACACCAACCAGTCAGTTAGTAGGGGCAAACAGTTTTATATATAGCGATTGCTTAATTAAGAATTCAAATTTGTAATAACATATAAAAATTTATATTAGGTATTAGGGTTCTTATTCGAGTAATCTATTATGTTTCTTGCATATATACAAATAACCAAGTTATCATTGATTAGGATTTTCGAAACGATCTGTAATACTTTGAGCCATGGATATAACTATTTATTTACAAATAAAATTTGTGTTTTTTATGCATTGAACTCTCCGTTCGTTTATCTTGATTCTGATGCCAGGCATATCGAAGGGCCTGACGCTGCAGCATCTCGTATCGTTTGGATATACTATTGGTATCCTCGGCGGTACAAAACCAAGCTGACATATTACTATTCATCTTCGGCATGCACCTCACCAGGGGCCTTGACCGCCGCTTGGTGTTGTAAATGTTGGAGATCTGACAGCTTATGGGATTGATCCGGCCAAATGGATAGACGCTGCTAGCAGGTCCTGCATGAAATTTTGTTCTCGTTCGCCTCAGATTTGAGTCGGAGAGCGCATTGCCATAAACAATCCGCAATTCGGCCAAAAGACGACGACGTTCCTCCTGCCTCTTGAACTCATTCACATAGAGCTTCAAAGGCATGACTGCTACAACAGTCACAGATACCACTTATATATAAACTGATTCATGGAATTTGGAAACTTAGGGGCTAGATAAACACAAAAAACATATTCGATTTGGGAATAATTGTGCTTGAAAATCTCAGCTAGGCCTGCTTCCTCTATGTGCCTTTAAAGAAAATGAGTTCTTTCGGTGTTTCAAGTTCGATTCTTATGAAGATTTAACGGATTAAATATAGCATACAAAAGTTAGTATATACCAAAGCCCATTTTAAATTAGTTCAAAGAGAAGTAGCACGGAATTGGATTGAGCAAGAGATTGTAAACATACATAAAGACAATTCCGATTATTGTTTGCAATCGGTTCAAGTCCGAAATTGTGATAATACCTAGGTTAATAATCCGCCGATCTCAGAACTTCTTAAGGAAACTGACTTACTAAATATAATTTGAAGTAGTGCTTCCACAAATGGTTAAAAAATTCAGGTCTAGACTTTACGGCTTGGGCTGTGCGTTAATAATAAATCAGACAGTGCGCATATCAATCAGTCAAACCGCTATACATCAAGATACATCTAGTATAGATTACTTTTCATATAGTTATAGTTCTAATGCAGTGTTGACCATCAATCAATCAATCTTGAGAGATGTATAAATCTATTTTGATATAATTCTAGATCTAATGGATTACACTTTCTTTTCATTATACGTAAGAAATTCTCCAAATGGTGCCTTAAGTTCGTTAATCATCAATCAGACAGTCAGCCAATCAATCTGTCAATCAGCTTAGCTGTACAGATAATTTTTGATATATGTAGTTATAGTTCCTTTTTCACTAGTTTTGATATAATACGACCTAACATTTTGTTGTAATCACTTTTGTTTCCTCCCTCCTCGTTTCTCACTCCATCCGTAAACTTTGCAGCGATCAAAAGTGCATTGGTGCGCCGCCCTTCCGCTCGCTGCCCGGCATTGATAACTGGTGTGAGGTCAACTGTTTGCGCTATCCGCCCAACTGTCCGGAGACCGCATGCCATTGTCCGTAAGTACAACATAACCTCACTCTATATCTATTTCACTTTCTTCGTATTGTACTCATCTGCTCCCCTTTGTTGCATACAGTCAGGAGTGCGTGGCGATTGGTGAACTGGAGGGACGCGAGGGTGCGGATACGTACTGCATGGACGAATGCCTCAATTATAAATCGGAATGCCCGCGCGACAGATGCCGTTGCTTTTAGAACGAGACAAAACATATGCAAAACACACAGAGAGTGAGAGGAAGAGAAGGAGAGAGAGAGAGAGAACGGTATACCAATAAGCTGTGCTGCCCAATTGCCAGAAAGGAGATGGAAGATGAGAGGAAAAGAAACGAAACGAAAGAATTTGCGAGTTTTGAGCATTTTGTAACTGAATAGCTGCATTTGAATACGAATATATATATGTATATGCATACATATGTATATATATAAAAATAAATATATTTATATATATATATGTATGTATGTATGAATGTGAATGTGAATCAAGCGGAGTTGTTCTTTATATATATATATATATAATATATATATATATATATGAATATTGTTATTTCCTACTGTTGTTGTTATTATTGTTGTGGTTGCTGATGTTGTTGTTGTTGTTTTTGTTGCTGGCTGGTGGAATTGGGGGTCACAGCATCGCTTGGTCATGTTGGTCGCCACATTCTATTTGCGCTGCACATTGTCCTCGTAGAGAAATGGACGCGTAAAGGCCTCCAGCAGATCGCGCTGCTCCCTCAGACGTCGCAGCTCCGACAGCGGATTCGCCGTAGAGATGCGTCGCACACGAAACAGGGTGGAGACGGTGCCCGCAATTTGACCCCAACGCTCGCTAGCACGCGATTGCATCACATCCGCGCAGAGATAATGATTGCGCCGCTCTCCGCTGGCCGTGGCATTTGGGCTTGCAGACGCGCGTGAGGATTGGGCCGCTGCCGCCGTTGTTGTTGTTGGTGATGCTGCCGTCGCTCCAGCCGTTCCGGCAATCGATTTAAATGGCTCGCTGCGTATGAGGACCTCGGCGCGCTCCTCGCGCGCATCCTCCTCGGAATCTTCGTGCGGCAGTGCCGCACATCGGCCGCAATCCAAATCGCTGACGTGCGCAAAACTGGAGGCAATTCGTCGCAATGATGATGTTGATGACGCCGCGTTACTGGTCATGGCCAAGGTTGTGGATTGAAAGGGATTGGCATCTGTGTTAGCGGGATTTGAACGACTGCGCATTCGGCCCAAATTCATATTGGATAGCTTATTGCCATAGCTGGTGCGCAGCTCGGCGCGTTGTCGGCGCGCCTCCTCTGAGCCAATGGCCAACTTTCTGCCCAGCGGCATGCTCCTGTCCTCCTGGTGGTGCTGCTGCTGCTGCTCCTGCTGACAATTTAGTACCAATCGATACCGTAACCAAAAACTGTTGCCGAAATGTTCGCTACGAATTTTGTTCAGTGACTGCTTAGTTATACCCACATCCCAGCCTAGGACCACAACAAATCCAAGGCCAGCCTGGATGCGATATGTCCAGCACTGTCCATCACCAAATATAAATAAGTTATGTTAACCGCGTTTTTTCTTCCGTGTCACGAGCGCGCCCGATTCGTTTTAACTCGTTTCGACTCGTTATGAGTATAAGTATAAGTATAAGTATAAGTATAAGTATAAGTATAAGTATAAGTATAAGTATAAGTATAAGTATAAGTATAAGTATAAGTATAAGTATAAGTATAAGTATAAGTATAAGTATAAGTATAAGTATAAGTATAAGTATAAGTATAAGTATACGTATAAGTATAAGTATAAGTATAAGTATAAGTATAAGTATAAGTATAAGTATAAGTATAAGTATAAGTATAAGTATAAGTATAAGTATAAGTATAAGTATAAGTATAAGTATAAGTATAAGTATAAGTATAATTATAAGTATAAGTATAAGTATAAGTATAAGTATAAGTATAAGTATAAGTATAAGTATAAGTATAAGTATAAGTATAAGTATAAGTATAAGTATGAGTATAAGTATAAGTATAAGTATAAATATAAGTATAAGTATAAGTATAAGTATAAGTATAAGTATAAGTATAAGTATAAGTATAAGTATAAGTATAAGTATAAGTATAAGTATAAGTATAAGTATAAGTATAAGTATAAGTATAAGTATAAGTATAAGTATAAGTATAAGTATAAGTATAAGTATAAGTATAAGTATAAGTATAAGTATAAGTATAAGTATGAGTATAAGTATAAGTATAAGTATAAGTATAAATATAAGTATAAGTATAAGTATAAGTATAAGTATAAGGGACTCGCATGTACGTCTTCAACATGGAAGGGAGCAATATTCAAAAAGTCAAAACTCTTTATGTGTTCAGGATATGCACACACACACAAAATTGAGTTTTTTAGCTTTGATAAATATATAAAAAACATATATGTATATATAATTTAAGACCCGCCCGAAATATATCGTTTATTAAAAATTCTGCAGTGTTAACGGTATTAATGAAAAGCAAAAAGGGTTTTCATACAATACTTTGAAATGATTTCGAGATCCTAACAAAATAAATTGGATGTGGTTTAGTTTTGAATATATATCCTTCTGCGGAATGGTTTCTATGCGTTACACAAAAAAAAAAAAAAAGCGGATATAAAAATGTTTTGAGTCAGATTTTGACACAGATATAAAGTCCTTGAACTGGAACTAAAGGTATCCTCTCATTTAATTGAACCAGTTTCGAACATTGTCCGAACTAGTTCGTTAGCGTGTTTAACAATTGAACCGTTTTCAAAGTTTGAAAACAATTTTAGAGCTGTTTTTTGAAAAGCCGCGCGCAGTCTATTTCTATACAGTACAGTACACACTCAATAATAACGACTTAACACTTAATGAACTATGTGTGAGGCTTAGATGTTGCATTGAAAGCTGTTTTATACAAATAAAAATAAAAATAATAAATTGTAGTATAAATTCCCTTACCTTTTATTTAGTATATTTGTGGCTATCGCTTAGTAACTAGTCAAATAAACTCTCTATGCAATTCGCATGTGGACTGGCAGCTGTTTAGAACATTAACTTCTTTTTTTGCGGCAGGACATTGCCGCGCACCGTGGTCTCGACCAGTTTGCGCTTGAGTCCCGGTTTCTCATCGGCAGCCGCATTGGCGCCCTCCTTGGCGGCCAATATGGCTGAGGGCATTGGCAATTTGGGGCCAACTGTGGGCGCGGGCTTATTATGAAAATAAGGCATGCTGAGCGCTTCGCGGCACGAGCAGCGCTTTAGCGGATTCATGGCAAACAGACGACGCATCAGCGTGATCATATCATTGCCGGCTGCTGTGAATATATTCTGAAGCGGTGTGCCCACAAAATGACGAAATTGTAAATAGTCATGGAGCTTGCTCAGATAGGGCCACTCGGCCTCTGTGGGTGTGCCCAAAACGCTGAAGATGCGCGTCAGCTGATCCAGATCGGAATCGCCGGGCAGAAAGGGTACACGCAACATAAGCTCGGCGAGAATGCAGCCAACGGCCCACATGTCCACGCCGGTACCGTATTGGCGGGCGCCAAATAGCAGCTCGGGTGAGCGATACCAACGCGTCACCACATGATGAGTGTACACGCGATTAGGCGAACCAAAGCTCTTGGCCAGACCAAAATCGCCGATCTTTAAAACGCCATCACTATTGACAAGCAAATTGTTGGGCTTCAGATCGCGATGCAGAATCCAATTGACGTGCAGATATTCTAGGCCGCGCAGTGTCATTATAGCATACGCCTTGATGTTCGCTTGGGTGAGAATAATCTTGTTATCCTTGATGATCACCTCCAGATCGGTGTCCATAAAATCAAACACCAGCGACACATTCGACAGCTGGCCAAATACATCGACCAGTCCGATAATGTTCTCGTGCTGCAGCTCCTGCAGGATCTTAATTTCACGCAATGCGGTGCGATTGATGCCATCGCGCGCCTCATCGCGGCTGCCCTTCTTGATCTTCTTGACGGCCACAATTTGGCTGGTCACAGTGTCGCGCGCCTTGTACACGATGGCAAACTGGGCAGGGGTTTAAGGGAATGTATTGCAATGCGTATAGAAGGCTAAATGCTTACCTGTCCTTCGCCCAGAAAGGACAGCTTGGCATAGCGATCCTTTTTGTCATCTCCAAGGGGCAACATGTGAGCGTTTATGCATAAAATACAAATTGCAAGCGCTACCAAATTGAAATGAGCGTGCGTTCCAGCCGGCAAAACAGTACACACCAGTGCTGCATAGCAAAGGTATCAACTATATCGATAGCTAGTATCGCATAAAATCACAGCACTAGACATCGTAAGATACATCGAGTACATATCACACTAACACAAGAAAACCCTACCGCTCTTACAAAATTGTAATTCATTTCAATTTTATTTTTCTTTTCATATTTATTATTTAGCAATTGAATGACTAAAGTGGTACAAAACGTTTGTATGTCGATTACATGTTGCACTGTCACCACACAAAATCACTGCATTATACACTCGCGCTTAACATCGCATCTCGTTATTCACCATGTACTATCGCCTAAATTATATCGATATTGTATTACATCGAAAACATGGCGACTGTCAATGCAAAGCTGCATTGCACATCTCTAATCGGCAACGACCAAACGAGCATTTTTTTTTACGCATTTTTTCCATCAACTATTTGGTTGCTCTTTAATTAAAACAACAAAATGGATGTGCGCCCAAATCAAACTATCTACATAAACAATCTGAATGAGAAAATTAAAAAGGAGGAGCTCAAGAAATCGCTCTACGCTATTTTCTCACAGTTCGGCCAAATACTCGACATTGTGGCATTGAAAACATTGAAAATGCGAGGGCAAGCGTTTGTCATTTTTAAGGAAATTGGCAGCGCCTCGAACGCCCTGCGCACCATGCAGGGCTTTCCGTTCTATGACAAGCCCATGCGTATTGCCTATTCCAAATCTGATTCGGATATTGTGGCCAAACTGAAGGGCACGTACAAGGAGCGGCCAAAGAAGGTGAAACCACCAAAGCCGGCACCGGGTGCTGAGGAGAAAAAGTTTGTATCGAGTGTAATTTGTATGCGAATTGGATGCTGTATATTTAATGTTTTTTTTTGTTTTTTCGAATTCTAAAACAGGGACAAGAAGAAGAAGCAGAGCAGCACCGAAAATTCGAATCCCAATACACAAACGGAACAGCCGCCAAATCAAATTCTATTCCTCACCAATTTACCGGAGGAAACAAACGAAATGATGCTCTCAATGCTGTTCAATCAGTTCCCCGGCTTCAAGGAGGTGCGTCTGGTGCCCAACCGTCACGATATTGCCTTTGTCGAGTTTACCACCGAACTGCAGAGCAATGCCGCCAAAGAAGCGCTGCAGGGCTTCAAAATAACGCCCACGCATGCTATGAAAATTACTTTTGCCAAAAAGTAAACAACAATATTGGGCTACATATACAATTATATATATATATGCATATATATATAAGTGTAGGAAACTTGATTTGTGCGTGCCGCCTCTCATTTGGGAGCACACACGAATCTAATTTTTTTTAACGCTCCTAATTTAAAATTATACTTAGAATAAATACAAAATACAAAGAAATGATGTTAAAAAAAATCGTGTTTAGCTTTAAGTTGGCAACAAGTCAAGTTTAATGGTGATTTACAATTTTTCAGGGCTTGTGTTCAGGAGTTAAGAGTTCGTTGTAGTGTAGTGTACGCGTCCTTAAGACAGTCAAGTGATCTCCAATGTTATGTTGTACAGTGTTCGGAATTCGGTCGGCATTGCTAAGTGTTTCTTTGTTTTGTTCTTTTTTTTTTCGCTTTCGTTTGTACTGGCATTTCGTTTTGTTTGCATGAGTTTTTCCGCTTTCTTAGTTAAATACAGGTTATTCAATTAGTTCTCCAGGACGCCCTCCTTGTCTAGGGCACCACTCTGCACACGCATGGACATCTCGTGAGCGCCCTCGACCTCCTCATCAAGATCACAAATGGTGCTGCCGCTGGCAGCGCTCTCCGAGGATGTGCTCAGCTGCTGTTGCATTTCCTCGTTCGGCTCATCGCTGTCGCTCACATATTTCTCCATCGATTTGGCCAATTTGTCCGAATTGCCGCCCACAAACACCTCCAGTACCTCGCCGCTCTTGATGAACACAAATGTCGGCATGCTGGTTATGTTATACTCAATTGTTATCTCCTCGTTCTCATCGACATTCACTTTAAGGACAACGGCACGCTCGGCATATGTGGCGGCCAGCTCCTCCAGTTTGGGTGCAATTATTTTGCACGGTCCGCACCAATTGGCGCAGAAGTCGATGACGATCAGTTTGTCGCCGGCATTGGACAGTTGCTGTTCGAAATCCTCTTTGCTCTGTATAACATGCACCATGACTGAAATTTCGCTATGCCGTTGGAATGTTTTTTTTTCTTGTATTTTTTTTTTTTTTTTTTAATTATTTATTTGTTTATTTTTTTTTTTTTTTTGTCTGTTTGGTTTGTTGACTGAACACAAACATGAATTTCGAATATTTGCAACAATTTTTTGTGTGTGCGCACAAGTTTCTGGAATTTTATTTTTTTCGGCTCGACAGCTAGACAGCTGAAGTGAAATAGGAAGAAAGGAAGCCTTGACTTCCAGTCAAAACGGAAAACAGTTAGCAGCTCGCATAAGTTTCTTAATGAATTGGCAGCTAAGTTTTTCGTTAAGGCGACGATTTCAAAATATAATTGTGAACTGCACGTGCGCCAATCGTCAATCGATAATCTCATCTGAGCGACAGGTGGCAACGCTCAAATGCTGGACGAGTACCGTTTGTTCATTTATGATGTGTGTATGTATGTATGTATGCACGCATCAAGACGCTTGTGTGTGTATTCGCCGCCTAAAAGCGCGGGAAACATTTACATAGCCTTCCAGCTTGCGGTGTATTGTTGCTATAAATAGAGGTGCACGGCACGCATTCGCAAAGTTCTACCAAATTGACAAAGACGTTTCAATCCAATTGGATTCTGTATTTTGTGTAACTGTTTTGCAAAGTTGTATTCAAAATGTCGGCCATTCGCAGCGTCAATGATTTCTACAAACGCATCGAGGCAGCCGAAAACAAAGTTGTCCTGGTGGACTTCTATGCCACCTGGTGCGGACCCTGCAAGGAAATGGACCCAATGGTCAAATCCCTGGCACGCCAATACGCCAGCAAGGCGATCGTTATCAAAGTCAACGTCGACAAATTTGACGAGCTGGTGGAAAAGTACAAGGTGCGCAGCATGCCAACGTTTGTCTTCCTCAAGGGCAATCGCAGCTTGGGCAAAATCATTGGCGCCGACGAGCACAAACTGACCCGCATGATGGCCAAAGTATGCAAATGAGCGCGAATTGAAGGCGGCGCAGGCGTCGCTACCTAACCGTAAATTTAACATTTTAATATATGTATTGCTTAACTGTAACTGTAAGTGTAACTGTAACTGTAACTGTAACTGTGACGGCAAACAATTTATGTAATTTCCAATGCAAAAATAACCTCAAATTTGAATATGTTTTTTTTTTTGCCCTTAGAAGCATGCTTCTGTGATAGGTTTTAAGGTTAGAAACGATTATAAACTGATAATAAAAATGACAAAGAGAAATAAGAGAATTGTTTGGCTTCATCTGTGTAATCTGTGTAACGGCGGCAATCGCAGCAGGCGAATGGCGTTCCTGGCGTTTGACTTCAATTCACAGATTTTAATATCGTCCAGAGGAATCAAATAAAAATCATTTTCGTCACAGCAACATTCAACAAACAATCCTTTTTTTTTTTTTTTTTTAGGTAGCGTACAAAATTTTCAAGTGCAACAAAAAGCGAAAAAAAAAAATAAATATATATATCACCTCGTCTAATTGTCGCGACACTTTGGTATCCAAAATTCGTTGTTGAGAATTCGTGGTGAAGACGCCGATTCAGCCGATTAAGGTGGAGGAGGAGGAGGAGGAGCATGTCCTATCAAATAAAGCGTACACCCTATTTCCGGCGCATGTTCAACAACAGCCGCCGCAACGGGCAACTGCAGCGCCTGCGCGAAGAATATGAACGGATACAGGAGTTTAACGATCGGACCATCGAGCTAAAGATGCGTCAGGTGCGACTGAAGCGTCTGTTCCGTGAAATAGAGGATATTAACGAATCGCCGAGCACATCGAATGCCCAGCGCAGGCATACAACGCTGGTGCATTTGACACCGGAGGCCATGCAGGCCCAACAGCGGCGGGAGCGTCTCGAGGCGCTGGAGCGTGCCCGCGAACTGGGCCAGGAGATATCCCGACGCAATGCCCAAATGGCCGAAAGCGGCGCCGGTTTCTATTTGCGCAGCGAACTCCGGCTAACAGCAAAAATGCGCGCCGTTGACGATGCCCGACGCGAGGCACAGGAGCGACGCCAACGCGCCGCCCGTCGGATCAGCTACGGCAATGCACAATCGCGCTCGAACATTGAGCGCATCGTCCAGAGACGCCAACGGCGGCTGGTTACCGGTGATTCGGCGGCAACATCAATAATGCTCGATACCAGCCATCAGGCCGCCCAGCTGCCGCAAAGCACATCCAGCCACAATCAATTGCATCCGGATCTCATGAAGCGGGCAATGCTGCAGCAGCGTTTGCAATACGGCAACTCGCGCTCCAGCAACAATATGATGCGCAGCCAATTGGCTGCTGCGCATCGTGTAATGAATTGTTTATCGGCAACCGATACGCTGACGGATGAAACGGATCAGCTGCAGCAGCAGCAGCAGCAGCAGCAGCAGCAGCAGCAGCAGCGACAGCAGCAGCAGCAGCTGCAGATGCAGCTGGATCATAGAGAGCAGCCGTTGACTATTGCCCATTTCTCGCCCAGCTCCACCAGCAACAACAACAACAACAACAACAACAACAACAACATCATCGTTGATTCGGAAACAGAAATGCAGACGGCAATGTTGCCGCCAACGGAGCCGGATATGATGCGCGACGACGATGTGCCCACAACGAGCCAGAATGCGCTCAGATTGGCCGATGTAACAACGGCAATGGCGGCCACCATAACGGCCGCCAGCCAGCCGCCATTGGCAGCGGCGCGCTCGAACATAATGCTGCACGAATCGAAGTCGGATCGCGCCTCGCAGCGCTGGCATCGCATTCAGCTAACGTTGCCCTGGATTAAGGTTATGCACGATCGACCGATGATGGCTTCCAGTGAATTGCAAGCCGGCCAGTTGCCCTTTGGCGGCGATGAATTGGGCAACAACAACAACAACAACAACGAGAATAGCAACAATAACAATAATAATAATATTAATATGAATAACAGTTACTACAACAACAACAACAACAACAACAACAACAACAACAACAGCTCACCAACGGAAACGGGAGCCACAGATAACTACCAAAGTATCAGGGGACCATCGTTAATGCAAGAGGACTTGATGCAGATCATGGAGCTGGACAATGAGGGACAGTTGCCAACAATGCATGCACATTGCATTCATCAAGCATTTGGTCAATAGGTCAAGTGACAAAATGTCTGTCCCATTGAAACAGGCCCATATACCAACAAGAGCAAGCTCCGATAACTTCGTGGATTGTCAGAGTAAGTGCTTCCAGTATATCATTCCATTCAACTGTATCTATTCCATTGCTCAATTATGTTTTGGTCAGGCGCGTGACACGCGCTCGTTAAATATATATGTACATATATAGGCAAACGATTAACAAGTCGACTTGACAAATACCCTATAGCCGGGCTAACTAGATGAATCATTGACAAATAATATGTATACAAATTCATCATGATTGTTTTTAAGGAAATAATATAAGAATATACTTTTTTTTTAAATGTATAAGAACAGCAAATTTATGTTGAACATAATGTATTGTACTTTAATTTATTCTAAAAATAAAAACAATATGCATTTCTATTTACGCGTACATTTCTATTCAATTTAAAACAATAAATCTCAATTACAAGCCCATAGAGAATTAAAAAGAAATTCATTTGCATTATAAAAGCTATGGAAATTCCAAAATATAAAAGTAAAACATTTTGTTTGGAATTTTAAGCTCTGCAAATGAACTGGACGGGGACTTACAGACAACAAATAGGACAGAATCGAAAAACATTTAACTAAGTGAAGAGACTTAATATAAAGAGAAAATGCTCATAATCAAAATGGGTATTTTCAAGACCTAATAGTTCTGAGCATTGCACTTGTAAATTCTACAATGAACTTTAATAAATGTATTTTCTTCATATTTCTTATTACAGGCATTTCATAAGACGAAACCGGATGGATCTGATCTCTATATCATATCTGCCAATTGAGTTTATTGGGCGATAATCAAGTTTTTGTATGCAATCATTATGAATTATTAAATATATTTATATTTTTTGATTGCAATAATAAACTGATTTTTTATTTAATTGCAGGCACACACACAGTTCCTGCTCTAGATAATAACAAGATGTTTTATTGGGCCCGCGGATGCAATGGTTATATATATGTATATATTTTTAAATGTCAAGCCAGCCGACTGGAGAAGCAAAATACGCGAAATGCGTATTGTAAAACGCCCTACACCCTTTAAAAAAAAAGAAAAAAGAAACACATCTACGAACAATCGACGACCAAATGCAGAAAATTGTATGCAACGCAATATGATATACGCATATGCCCTACATATAGACCGTATATGGGCTATATATATATGGGCACGATATGATCCATTTGCTTTAAGTTGTATTAGTTAAGAATTTCATAATATTTATTTGTAAAATAAATTTAAAGTCGAAAGGAAAACTATAAGCAAAAGCAAATCGCCTGCATCATATGTACGAGTTTTAGTAAAGTATTTCAAATTGTCAAAAGCCGCGCACGTGCGCACTGCGCATATCGCCAGTCGATAGGGTATTTACATAAACGACGGGTGGCAACGCTCAAGCGCTGGACGAGTACCGTTTGTTTATCTAATGCATTCTGTGTACTTACATTTACATACGACCAGCCTGAACGAACGCTGCATCCAGCGGAAAATTCCTCGACAGTCATCTGAAAATAAACCCAATTTTTCAATTTAAATACAAAGTGCCTAAAAAAAAAAATATGCCCACCGTTCGCACCGTTAGTGGATTCAATAAACGCCTCGAGGCGGCCAAAAATAAGGTGGTCGTGCTGGACTTTTATGCGAGGAACAGCAAGCCCTGCCAGGACATTGACCAGCTGGTGCAAACTCTCGAATATAAATACGCCAGCAAGGCGATTATCATTAAAGTGAACGTCGATAAATTTGACGAACTTGTAGATGAATACAGGGTGCGCAGCATGCCAACATTTGTCTTCCTCAAGTGCAACCACAACGTGGCCAAAATCATTGGCGCCGACGAGCACAAACTGACCCGCATGATGGCCGAAATGTGCGAAACTGAATGAGCGCGATTTTGAAGGCGGCGCCGGCGTCGCAACTTAACCATAAATTAATCTTTTTATTAGATGTATTTGATGTTACTCTTTTCAATTCGGACATAGCCTAATAACACATTTGAAACTAACTCAAGCAACATCATCAAATATCATTTATTTCACTCTGTTCACGAGGTGAAAAGGAGTATATTAAGCTTGCCATATTTGATGCTCAAGTAGTTAGATAACGCCTGCTAGAAGTCGGACAGACTGAGACACACAATTATAATACTGCTCTCTCAATCTTGAACAGGATTACACTTTAGCTTCAGAATTACAGGATTACAGTCTCAGTCGAGAACACCCGACTAGGGCATACCCTGAACCCCCTTATTCCAACACCAAATGCAAATATACTTTTCTAGAAGCTACACGTCAAGTTTGGTGACACTAGCTTTTATTATTTACCCAATTTGATCAAATAACAGGATTTCGATATCGATTTTTATCGATTACTCGGAAACGGGGCAAGTTATCGAATATCGGAAACAAACTCAATCTGCGAGGACCTTACAGCTCATGTATCTAGCTCTTATAGGGGATCCTTGCGTTCAAACATGCGGACGGACGTACATGGCTATCGATCGATTCGACTATTGATGCTGATCAAGAATGTATATAATTTATGGGGTCGGAGATGCTGCCTTCTGCCTGTTGCAGAATGGGTGCAGAATATAAAAAGCGAACTTGTGCTATGATTTACATACATATATACAAAGATTTCAAGAGTATTTTGTTTACCCATTTTATTTGTATGTAATTAAGCAATATTTGGAATATGAACAATATAATTGTTAAAATTGATGTCAGTTGAAAGATTCAGTCTCAAACGGTCCGTTTATATTCAAATGCAAATCAATTGCACATGCAAACCTATACAAACATATATGCATATGTTCTTCTGTTTGTCAGATGAAATTTATATTCGAAAATAGGCATTACCCATGCATAGCATACGTTTATGTATGACATATGATCACGCAGTAAATTTGTGTTGTTTCTTTTTAAATATAAGTTGGTCAGTTGTCAGTTGAAAAGATTAACCCATTTACGGGCTGTTTACAATAGATATAATTTAGCGTACTGTCAAGTCGATGGGGTACTACACATTACATGCTCTTATAGAGAATAGATGATGACATATGGGAGCTCTATGTAAGGAATCACATTTTGAACAATTAGGCTGTTAGCTCATTAAAAAAATTGGGATGCTCGGTTAAGAACTGTTGCAGACGTTTTTGTTGCTCCTGTTTTAGCTTTTTGTGCGCCTCTTTGTTCAGCTTACGCCAGGCCATCTCCTCGGGCTGGAATTTGACCAGCCAGTTGGCCAGCGCCTCTTGCAGGTCATGTAGAAACGGATTTGTCAGCTGTGGCGGCTGAAATTGCTGAAAGAATGTCGGCATATAGATGATATTATCGAACTTTTCCTCAAAATCATCGGTGGCCGTGGGAAACACCTGCGTCTCGAGCATATCAAAGCTGTAAGCAAATTAAATTGTTTCCATACTAATGTAATTCCAATTGATAGACCGCAAGGACACTCACGTGGGCAGGCGCTCGCGCAGGTAGCGCAAGCGACGACCACAATTGGCGGCACGCAACTCGGCGCTATAATTCTGACTGCGTCCGGCCATTTTGGCCTCGATTAACAAATCGCTAATGGTCGTCGTCTCCGAGCTGCTCTTGTTGAACAGATTTACAAAGAGGATGCGATCTTGAATATCAATATCCTTGATAACGGCATGCAGCTCACGTGCATGCACCAACTGCTTAAACTTCGTTGTCGCATTTTCGGGCCAATGCAAATCCAACGGATACACATCGGTCAGTGTGCCGCGCATCAACAAAGCCGGCTGCTCTTTAAAGGTGCCGTGCAGAAAATACAATTCCTTGCGTTGAACATTCACTCCCTTGCCATAGTCCAGCAAATAAACAGATACATGGTCAGCGTCAGCCAGGGGTTCGCTGACAATGCGTCCACGACGCCAAGCAAATTCATGCAGCACAGCGCACATATATCCGGGTTTCATAAAGTAGCTCGGCAGCTGCCAGTCAGCGCCACGCAGTGTAGAATAAAAATTGCTGCACGAAGAGAGGCGATATTAGAAATAGCAGGGTATTTCACATTCCAATAATATACGACACGATTCAGGCACTTGCAGCAAACAACATGGATTGAATCGAGGATTTGAGCCAAGTGCATACTGAGTGCTCTGCCCGGTTTAAGTTGCTTACGTTAGCTGGTGATTTAGCTGTTCCAGCATATGCATGTCATAGTCGCCGCCAACAACATGAAACCAGAACTGAAACGGACTGTAGACCTGTCCAAAGAAACCGAAAACACGTTAAGCGAAAATAAGAAAGATTGGAAGCAACGGACAAGCTGGCAAGAGTCCAGTCGGGTTCCCCTCTAATTGATTCTAATAAACGCTGCTATTCGAGCCTCCTACAAGCTAAGGAAGACGAGCTACCCGATGGGACACCACGCTATCAAATATCATATCCACAAAGCCTCTGCTTGAACGAAGACAAATCAACCAAGAGAAAGCATTTGGGCAAAGAGTTCGCCTAAGGGTTACACTCCCGTTCATCAGGAAGCTCCAGCAACTGCTGCTCACTTAACCAGACTCAGGCACATCTTATATTTTCCCATTTTCCACGGGAGCTAGCTAAATATATATATAACTAAGCTCGTCATCCAGATCGTTGTAATATAACTGCACTGAGACTCACCTCGGAGAATTTGCTAAATTGATTGAAAATTGATTTTCCTTATATTTTTTTTTAGTTTGCGGTTGTGCTTAAACATTTCAGCGAGAATTTGTGAAATCCAATAGATATGCTATTCGACTTAACAAAATCTCGCTGAAATCCTTAAGGACAACCGCACGGTCTGCTTCAAATAACTCACAGAGACTAACTGGAAATATGTTTGGTCGAAATTGCAAACAATATCTAATTTGACATATAATTCGAAGCTATCTTTTCAATACACAATATCGATACTATAGCTGACCTCCATGCTATAGATATATATATATATTCTTGATCGGCATTAACAACGGAGTGCATATAGAACTGCTTCTATCTCTCTATCGTCATGACACTTTGCATTGGCTGCCCTGAGAAGAATCACGATCTAAGCGAAACCTTGGCCAAGCTCAGCAATACAGATTTCATTATCTTCAAAGGATATATGCAATGGCCGCAACAAATCGGACAACATAAAATCATTTCTCATCCCTTTGGTTATATATGTGTAAATGGTTTCCACAGACACACACCTCGGATACAAAAAGCTTGAGCAGATCTCCAATCTTAAAGCTCTCCGATATCGGCACTAGGGGCAGCTCAGCGCCTAGGGCAGCGGCTTCCTTGGGCTTGTCCACGCAGTAGACGGCATCTGACTTGTATTGGAAAACAGTCGTTTAATATGGTTAGAGCTGGTTGGCCGGCGTTACCTACCAGCGCATATTCCGGCACGGCCGCGCGCGATTGTATAAGTTGTATAAAATTGTTCATCTGGCGCTCAGCGCTCAGGTTTTCGGTATTTAGGATCTGTTCCGTCTGCTGATTGTCGGTTAGGGAAAAACGAAATGGATTTGTGCAGTCTGTCATCTGTTCCGGCTCATCCTCATCGCTGTCGATGGCCCACAGCTCTTGGGCCAAACGCTGGGCAACATTAGACTCGCTGTCAATGCAGCCGCCCTCGCCTGGCTCCTGCATATTTTCATCCGCACTCATCATCATCATCACCGGCTTTACGGTGCGGTAATCCAATGTGCCTAGCCACGCCTCAAGATGATTGTATTTCCTTACGGTTTGCGGCAATAGATCAATATATTTGCGCTCAGTCTGATCGCCACTATCTGACGAAGATGTCTGTCCACTTTTAAGGCGTTTTGCTGAAACCGCGCCAACTGCCTCGTTTCCATTCTTCGGTTCCTGGCATAGTTTTACAACAGGCGTTCCAGCCTTTAATTGGCGAGCTAGTACAGCAGCGCTCACAAGTTGTTCTCCGACAGACTGTGAAATATATATATATTCGATGCATACTAAGAATTACAAATACATATGTATATATGCTATTGAACGAGAACATATATGGAGTGTCCCTTTTGAGAAAGCTCTGTTTTCTCCATACGAACTTGCTTGGAATATTACAAAAAAAGAAAGGTTATGTTCTAATTTGACAGGACTCTGGAAGAAGAAGAAGCCTAGCTGCTGTCTCAAGGGTGCAGCTTGTTTCATGTGTAACACATAATATTTAATATACAATATTAACTTAGATCTGGGTAAAGATTAACGGCAGTTGGAAAATGTGCGATCATGCACGGACGGGTTTTGCCCATAACTTACCTTTGAATAAGATGCTGCCATTTTGGTATCCAGCTCACTTTTCAATTGTTCACCTTCCGCTGAACACTCCATATTATCTTGAATATCCATGATTTAATAAATGTCTTTGCCTCGTTTCTTAAGGCAGCACACGCACATACACATACACCAAAGACAAAAAAATAACTGTAAAAGCCTTAGCTTCCAAGGGTGGCAGCACTACGAGAGCTGACACCAACAAGATGGCAACGCTCGTTTTAATGCATGGAACGATACCAAGTAACTAGTCACTGCTTTTCTGCTTAATAAAACACTACACAGGTTTATTTTGTATATCATATATATAATATTATATTTGAAATTTTGAAAGCTAACTGGAATACGCAATGAGTATCACCTTGCAGAAAAGTACAAATTGAATATTATAGAAAAAAGCATATAAAATATTGATATGCAATTTCCATACAATATAAAGTATATTGATACGAATAATTATGCATCTTTATTTCAAATATCGCGGCTAATTTTGAGTCTTCAAGTAAATCTACATTTTGCGATACTTTATATATCGATACCTGTATTGGGATTGTCAATCTAATCACAGTTTTTTGCGATGTTTAGTGACTGACGTTAATTTTGCTCATCCCTACGGCGGACATTTGTTTACGGCACGTGTTAGTGGCCGAATAGTAGTTTCGAAAATTTTTTAAAAATGGATAGCGAGGCGGATGATTATGAGCCCACCGATTCGGAACAGGAGTACGATGAGGATGAGCGAGAGATATTGAGTGATTTGCGTAAAGAGCGCAAGAAACGCGCCGAACAGAAAAATCAAAAACAGGATATTCTATCATTTAGCGACAGCGATGATGATGATGATGATGATGAAGACGAGAACGTTGTGGGCGAACTGATGCGCGACAGCGATATTGAAGGTGCCGAGGACGACGATGGCGATCTGCCCGACACCATGGACTGGGGCAGCAACAAGCGAACCTACTACAATACCGATTTCGTCGATCCCGACTACAGCAGCTACACCGCTCAGGAGGAAGATCTGGCCTTGGCCGAGGAGGAGGAGGCCAAAAAGATTCAGTTGCGTTTGGCCAAGCAATTGACCGAGGCTGACTTTCAGCTAGACGACATGGGGGAGCTAGCTGTTGCAAGTGACGACGATAACGAGGTGGCCATTAAAAGCATCAAAGTGACCACAGATCTGAAGGGGCTTACGGAGCGCGAACGTCTGCAGCTGCTGCAAAAAGATTCACCAGAATTCATGGGCCTCACCCACGACTTTCGGCAGCAGCTGAGCGAAGTGCAGCAGCTGACGTCGCCCGTTCTAAACTATGTGCGCAATCATCAGGTGCCCATGGTCCCGGCTCTGCAGTTCGCCACTCTCTATCAGAACGTGCTGCTAACCCACTGTTCGAACGTATCGTTCTATCTGCTGCTAAAGGCCAAACGCTGCAGCATCAAATATCACCCGGTGGTCAAACGACTTGTGCAGCTCAAGCAGCTTCGCGACCAGCTGGCCCCGCGCTATGAGGAGTACATACGCCCACAGCTGGAGGCGCTGCTGGAGCGCATTCAGGATGGCGATACATTCACCGTACTGGATGTGGCGCAGCGCAAGGCCAAGCTACAGATACTCGAAAAGTACAATGAAACCAAGCTGCAGAAGAATGGGCATGTACAGAAGGATGCTGACGCTGATAGCAATACTGATGATGACGACGACGACGACAAACAACTGCCAGATCTGGCCGACGAGGAGGAGGGAGATGACGAAGAGAATGAACGACGCGGCATCACCTATCAAATGGCCAAGAATAAGGGTCTAACGCCGCATCGCAAAAAGGAGCTGCGCAATCCGCGCGTCAAGCATCGTGGCAAATACCGCAAGGCGCTCATCCGCCGCAAGGGTGCCGTGCGCAGCGTACGCACAGAAGTGAAACGCTACGGCGGCGAAGCATCCGGCATTAAAGCCACCGTCACCAAAAGTGTCAAATTTAAAACGTAGTCCATTTAGTCCCAATGTATATAACATGTATGTAGGCGCCTTAAACTTTATACTAAATTTTGTTTTCTACACAAGTATTGGCTTTGATATGCACGTGTTTTGCCAAATGCACATAATGTAATAGGTGTCCAGGGGGATTGAATGCAATTTGTTGCTGCTTAAGCTTATGACTAGACATTATTCGAGTCCGTTCCACAGCTTGGGTCCCATCATCCAACAGATAGATTACTAATGTGCCCACATTGAAGATAAAAGGCTCGATTGCTCAATTGCTACGCCCAATTCTAGTTTTCCTTTTTGTGGTCATAAGATTTATTCAGTAGGGTCACAAGGTCGCCTGTTGCATTACATAACATCAATATACAAATATTTATATGTACGTATACATAACTCTGTCCATATATATATATTTATATGCACACATTGAAGTCTCTCTAGATGCCAAAATGAAGTGTTTTTGTTTAGGTTCTAAATATACATCTTTCCTTTTTGATGGATATAGTATATAACATATGCACAATCTCTATAACAACATTACATGTACTGCTCCTAAGTTTTCTGCCGTAGTGTGTGTGTGTGAGTTCGTGCTTTTTTGTTTTTGAGTTAAGGAACTTCTTATGGATAACTTAACATAAATGTTATTCTTAAAACGACCATATCCATACGAGATACTTTTGCAATCTACAATTTTCAATTGCATATGTTTAGCTTAAATATTAAAGAGCTTGCGAAAGTCATCGTTGGATTTTGGAACAGTCGGCGGTGGCGCATCCGATTTTTCTAATTCGTCGGCTTTCTTAGCGGCATTATCTTTATCATTGGCATTGTCATTAGCGTCAGCATTGCCATTTGCATTGTTGGCTTTGCCATTGGCGTCCATTGTGCTGCTAACAGCTGCATCTTCGTCCATATCCAGTTCGAGCTTCTTGCGCCGCTTCACCTCATTTATAACCAGCCTTGTTGGTATTAATGTCGTTTGGATGCGACGCTTCAATGGCTTCCTTTGGCCAGCAGCTGACGCTGTGGATGTAGTTGCCCCTGCGGCTGGTTTTGGCGGCGGATTCGAAATGGCCACCTCAATCTAAACGAAAACAAAACCGAAAAATAAAAAAACATATGCTTTAATTATGCATTTGTCGTTTGAGGAAATTTCTTACGTTTTGACCGCCAAGACAGAGTCCATCGCCACAGATGACCGCGTTTTGTGCCTCCTCCGGTTTTTCGAACTCAATGTACGCAATGCCCTTGAATCTTTGATTGCCGCTGGCGTAGGATATAGCATATTAAAATATCATTTTGTGTTTTATATCGCCGTCTCACTTACTGTTTGTATACCAAACGCACATCCTTGATGTTGCCAAAGCATTTGAATGCATCGGACAGATCCTCTTTGGTGCAACGTGGATACAAGTTCTTTATAAATATCTTATTGACTTCCAAATTCGCTGCAATTGAGAATTGATAGTTAGATGGATTCGATTTTATATTTTGTCACCTGTGCAACTCACGTGAATACTTAAAGTTCGACTCTTTGGGCTCTTTGGATGGTGGCCCTGGCGGCATTATTTTCTTGGCTGCCGGCACCTGTTTTCTGGGCAACGGTGCGCTCGGCCTTTTGACAGGCTTTTGGTTTCCCATTTGCTTTCTATCGCCCTGTCCACGCCATGTGGAGGACGGCTGTCGATAAGTTTCTACCTTGCTGTGCACCTGCATGTATGCTTCGCAGTATGCCTGGCAATCGGCTATTGTTTGATAGGTGCCAAAACAACGTTCGTTGCGACGATACAGCTCCGCAATGACATGGACGTCCGGTGTCATCGACAGTGCCGATAAAGCCTGGCGCAGCACTGTCGTCATCTTGCGCCCACTATTGTATTCGCTTTCCATTTGGGCATAGGCCAGCCACAGGTGGCTCTTGACGCTGCTGCCGGGATAATCTATGAAAAGAAAATGGTTTAAATACATATATCCATCTGAATCGACAAGAATTTCTCCTGCCAGACTGAGAATCAACACATTGTCCACCGGCCGGGATTTAAGGTACTCACTTAGTATCTCACACCAGATGGAGGCGCCATTATCGGGACTGTGCAACTTTGCATACTCGACCTGTGCCCATAACTGGAGCACCTCGTAGCTTGTGTCTGCCTGGTCGCCGTAAAGATCGGAGAGACGATCCCACACCTGACGAAATGCGGCACGCAACTTCTTGACCTGTCACAGATTGAACTTTAGTCATATATCTTAAATGTATTGTCTATTCTTAAGGTAGGCACCTGTTGCTCATCATCAACCTCGGTGTGGCGCACGCGATATGCCAAGTAGTCCAACTGCAGCTCAACATTCATGTCCATGTACGGCTCCAAGCGTTCTAGGTGCCGGGTTATCTCAGTTTCCACTTGCTCCTGGCTGAGATTGTGTTGCTCCATCAATTCCAAATACTTATGATTGAGCGCCATTGTCGGTTTCAACTGCAGCACACGGTTGATCAGATCCAAGGGCTTGCATTTGAGATAACCATCATTGACGCTGGTGTGATGCAAGGCTCTATTTGCCGACTCTATAGGTTTTTCCATATATGCAATATAGTCCAACCAGAGGCGACTATCAGTGGGATATTTGGCCAGGCAACGTTCGTAAATCAATTTGACCAAGGTGCATTTGATATTAATGCCGAGCGACAAGGCGTCCACTTTGAGTATGAAATTCTCCTGTAGCCAGGATGAGTTCTCTGTGCTGGCCTTCAGCTTCTGTTTGAAATCATCAATTAAATTGGAGATTGACTGCAACTGCTCGTCGCTGCAGTTCCATGTCACGCACTTGGCGCTCATTGCTTTCTCAATTAGCTCAACGTCATCCTTCTCCGACATGGAGCTGAGCAATTTGCGCACTTGTTCGACAAAATCGACACGCTCCAGACCATAATCAGCCAGCAATTTGGACCACATCGGATGCTGCTCCATGAGTGGCTGTTCCAATAAGCTTTTTACAACAAAATCAGCAAGCTGTTCATCTGATAAGTAAAGTAAAAACAAATTAATATTAACTTAGCAGCTTAAGAAACTCGGCGGAGATAGCTTCAGGATCACTAGTCACAATCATATCCGGGTTGCAGACGAATTAGCTTGGAGAAGCAGAACAAACGACTGCATGATCTTCGGATCATTAGCTGCTTTCTTACAGAGCATTGCAGGCAGCGCGAGCAGCTGCACAAGCCCAAGATTGTGGACGATGCTCTCTACAGTCGCTGCCTCGCCAGAGCGCATGCTGGTTAGCTGTCCGAGCGACAGTAAAATAAAACTTACTCAACCAGAGGAGAGTTCAAACTTGGTTTAGACCAGAGAATATCTGCTCAAGGGAACAGTGAAGGCAAAAAAAAATAATAACCAGTATGCGGCCGTACAAGGAATTTCATCAAGATAATAAAATAAATTGTTACCATAGAAGCTGCTCAGCGCGGAGGCGCATTTCGTTTCAAAAACGGCGCGCTCCGCCGGCGTCTGGGTGACCACCTTAAGTGTTTTGAGATAACGAAGCCATATATGCGATGGTATGGTGGTATATTTTTGGAATTCATTGATGGCCACCTCAATCTTATCGAAGACATTCAATTTGCTGCAAATGGTGTCAAAGTTTAGTTAGTTTGTGCATAAATCACAGCATGCACGAATACCCACAATGCCGTTGTACACAGATCCATATAATGTTTATATTTCTTTGCTGGCCTGGCCAATATGGCCGCAAACTCATCCTCCATCTTTTGCTCATCATGCGAATCGCTGGTGTCGCCAAGCGAGCTCAATACGCTAACCTCACTCTCCGTCTCTGATTCAGCTCCACTGGCGCTTTCCTCGTTGCTGTCGGAGCTTATTTCAATTGGCTGCTCGTTCACAATGTTGTCGTCCTGACTGTCACCAGCTGGAGCGTTCTGCTGTAATGAATTGAACGGTTGCTGTTAGCATTGGCAACCAAATGACTGAGTTATGCTTACATCAGCTCCGCTGGCCATTTTTAAAAATATGTTTGGTTTTTTTTATGAAAAGCTTAGAGTTGTTTCAATTGTCTCAAAAATCCTGCTCGCTAAAGTTTTTGTTGTAGTGCACGTAAACGACAACTAGAGATGAGCTGCGCTAATCCGCTTCATAGTGACCGCAAATGGCCTACTATCGGTAAAACACAGTTTCGAAACTTAACAACATTGTCGCTGCTTGTAAAAGTGTAGCTATAAGTGATAATGCGTTTAAATACCCATGTAAACATCTAGCAGATGTGCGTTGTCACAGCCACACTACACTCTTTAACACCGACAGATAAATAACCGGGCAGAGTAACATAAAAATTGCTACATATTAAACATTAATTATTCATAAAAATTAGATTACAAAAAAGAAAAAACAATAAATAAACATTTAAATTTGTAATTGCAAAATATTTATCCAGTTAGAAGTTCTGTTTAAATTATCGATGATTGGCAGCACTGTTCTAATGTTAGTTAATATATGAATGTATCGATGCAGTGCTCAAATCGATAACTCGATTTATTTCATACGATCTTAAGAGTTCTATTTTTGCCACTTAACGTTGCGCGCGTCGTCAATTCGGTCGTGTGTGTCTCTCTGCATTATTCAGAATCCTAGCAAGATGTCCAAGCCTACGTACAAAGTTGGTGAGTTAAAAATAAAATCAAAATCTGCGCATCATCTGTGCGCTACATATCTGCCTAGTAATGCCGGCAAAAGGCAGGTACGCACACACATATGCATGCGCACATGTTTCCAGAGGTTAAAGCACATTGTTGCCGTGCCCGTTGTTTATATAGTTTCTGTGAAACGTATTCATGTATGTATCTTATCTCTACCGGTGGCAGCCGATATCAGTCTAGCCGAATGGGGACGCAAGGCGATCATCATTGCGGAGAACGAGATGCCCGGCCTGATGGCGTGCCGCAAGAAGTACGGCCCATCGAAGATCCTGAAGGGCGCTCGCATCACCGGCTGCCTGCACATGACCGTACAGACGGCGGTGCTCATCGAGACGCTGGTCGAGCTTGGCGCCGAGGTAAGCAATTCCCTTGACAGCTGTCGCCATGTGCGCTTATCCTTATCTTTTCTGTTTACTACAAAAAAAAAGAAGAAAAAAAACAATCAAAAAACGCGCCGAAAATTCTATTTTTCACGCTTAGGGGTCGCGCGTGAGTTCAAGGCGCACCGATAACAAACAAAATTGTAATCTCTGGGGGTCAGTGGGGCCATCACAAGAACCCATTGTTTACTTCCTAATCTCTTCCATATGTAAATGAATTTCATCACAAAGAGAGGCATATCCGACCCTATTAAGTAAATATATTTATATGCATACGTATATATGCTTGATCAGCATCAAAGGACAAATCTTTAAGGATCTGGCTTCTAGTTTTTTCGATCCTTTGCGTAAATCGTATCGTAAACCGGATCGGACCACTTATTTCATAGCCTAGAAACGAACAGAACTATGCATCCTAGCAAGAGAATCCTGTACAAACTCAGCATTGCTCCAAGCCTGTCATATGTTCTAAATATTCGTTCCTGATTTTGCGCCCACACAGGTCCAGTGGTCTAGCTGCAACATATTCAGCACACAGGATCATGCTGCGGCTGCCATTGCAGCCACTGGAGTGCCCGTCTATGCTTGGAAGGGTGAAACCGATGAGGAGTACATGTGGTGCATTGAACAGACACTGGTCTTTCCCGATGGCCAGCCACTCAATATGATCCTGGACGATGGCGGCGATCTGACCAATTTGGTGCATGAACGTTTCCCCGATTATTTGAAGGGCATCAAGGGTCTCAGCGAGGAGACAACAACCGGTGTCCACAATCTGTACAAGATGTTCAAGGATGGTCGCCTGGGCGTGCCGGCCATCAATGTCAACGATTCCGTGACCAAGGTGAGCCGCCAACAAGCGCTCTCTTAATCGGTTTTACATCTCGATTATCATCTTTTAGAGCAAATTCGATAATTTATATGGCTGCCGGGAGTCGCTGATTGATGGCATCAAGCGTGCCACAGATGTTATGATCGCCGGCAAGGTATGCTGTGTGGCTGGCTATGGTGATGTCGGCAAGGGTTGTGCCCAGGCCTTGAAGGGCTTTGGCGGTCGCGTTATCATCACCGAAATCGATCCGATTAATGCGCTGCAGGCGGCTATGGAGGGTTATGAGGTGACCACAATGGAGGAGGCTAGCAAGGAGGCTTCCATCTATGTGACAACCACCGGCTGCCGTGACATAATCACCTCAGTGCATCTGCTCAATATGCCCGATGATGCCATTGTGTGCAACATTGGCCACTTCGATTGCGAGATCGATGTCGACTGGCTGAACAGCAATGCCAAGGAGAAGGTGAATGTTAAGCCGCAGGTGGATCGCTATACGATGCCCAATGGAAAGCACATTATTCTGCTCGCCGAGGGTCGTCTGGTCAATTTGGGCTGTGCCCATGGCCATCCCAGTTTTGTCATGTCCAATTCGTTTACCAACCAGGTGCTGGCCCAGATTGAGCTGTGGACCAAGTCCTCCCAGTATGCTGTCGGTGTGCACGTGCTGCCCAAGCTGCTCGACGAGGAGGTGGCCAGTCTGCATTTGGATAAGCTGGGCGTCAAACTCACCAAGCTCTCAGACAAGCAGGCCGAATACCTGGGCGTACCGCAGACGGGACCCTTCAAGCCCGATCACTACAGATACTAAAGATTCCCATAATACACAACCACAAGCCCCTAAAATCTTTGTGCGATCACGTTTTTATATACGTAACCATCTATAAGAACGTCAGTTTCGCAGTTTATCGTAAGCTTCAATAAAATCAAAACTTGAAATTTACTCACATACACATTCAATGCTATTTCGTAAGAATATGGTATAGCATATATATTTATATATATATTAGAGTCCAGGATATTTACAGGCATTGAATTGTATCTTAAGATGATTTTTCAATGTAAGATTTGTACTAAATTGAAGCGGAAATTATGGGTTCTGCACGTGGAACATGAGCATTACAAAGTATTTGATAAGCCTGTTCGGGTTAGCATCAGGAACTTTCATTCAAATTTCTACGATAATTCGTCCATTTCCTACGGCGAATTGGAAACTATTTCCTGATTATGTTATTCTCATATAAATCCGTTGTGGCTATTTTTTGTTGTTCCGGCTGAGTCCTGTGTTTAGAATGGGACCTTAAATAATTGTATTTAAAAGTCGGCTAAGTTTTTGAAAATTTCGATTTTGAGGTTAGATTTGAAAAACGAAAATCAACTGGCAAATCAAATTTGCATGTTATGACGTAGTATATTTAAAATATAACAGTTTTCTAGGCTATGACAAGAGCCTTAAAACATAAACATATTAAAACAGGCATTAATTACAATTAAAGTTAAAACTAATTTTGTATTTTTCCAATACTGGCTTTAACATAAAAAAACTTCCTCAAAGCCTAACAGATAATGTTAATAGCGTGTAGAAAGCAACTGGGCAGAACAGCTGTTAAGATCACAATTAACACATGTACACACAGTTACATGCAAGCGCACACGGACATGCACACATGCATCTATGTTAATTGACAACCTGTACGAATGTAACTCGTTTTACTCTGTGTGTGTTGCTGTGAGTTTGTGTGTGTGTGTGTGTGTCAGTGGCTTCGCTCTATTTGGCACGCACCCAACAACAACAACAACAGCAACAACATCTAGTACGTTAACAGAGTAGGCTGCTGCACTTAGATACGTTTCGCTTTTGCTGTAAGTTTGTTTTTAATCTGTTAGCTTGCTAATTGCGCAATTGGAAATATTAAAAGATTTGTACTGGTACTGGACCAAAATGAATATGACGTACTGGCTCCTGGTTGTGGCACTGTTGCTGAGTCAACAGACAGTGCCCAGCGCCGGTTGGCAGGCGCGCTTCGAGCCCGAGCTGCTGCAGCTGGAAATGGAACGCAGCGACGAGGTGCAGCTAACACTGTCCGGCATAGCTGACGAACTGCAGCAGACGGGCCGCTACAGTTTCCGTCTGCAGAGCGCCGCCGAACAGCTGGCTAGTGTGGCGTCCGATAATGCCAGCATACCCATGGAGCTGGTGTCGCACAATGGCTGGCAGGGACGCATTCGCGTGGATGCCCACTTTCTGGGCGAGGCAAGGATCACGGTGCGTCTGTACGATGCGGCCAGCAATAGCAGCTCGCCGCCACAGAATGCCGGCAGCAATGCGAGCTCGTTGCTGGTGAAGGTGGTGCGACCGGAACGCGTCATCGATCATGTCTTCGTGGGCTCCATAATACTGCTGATGTCGCTGCTGTACATTAACTTTGGCGCCGCGCTCAATGTGGATGTGCTGCAGGGCATCGTGACGCGTCCGATTGGACCGTGCATTGGCTTTGTCACCCAGGTGCTGGGCATGCCGTTGCTCAGCTATGCGCTGGGTGTCTTCATCTTTCCCGGCTCACCGGCCATGCAGCTGGGCCTGTTCTTTACGGGCATTGCGCCGAGCGGCGGCGCCTCCAACACCTGGTCAGCGGTGCTTGGCGGCAACATTAATCTGTCCGTGCTGATGACAACGGTCAGCAATGTGGCCGCATTTGCCACCCTGCCGTTGTGGATATTCACGCTGGGTCAGCTGATCTTCGAGCGGGCTGGCATGGAGGTGCCGTACGACAAGGTTGCCAGCTACTGTGCAAGCCTGATTGTGCCCCTGCTCATCGGCTTGGCCATACAACGCTGGCTGCCACGCTTGGCGCAAGTGTTGGTGCGCCTCCTGAAGCCGATCTCCGCGTGCCTTATACTCTTCATTGTCATCTTTGCGATTGTCACCAACTTTTATCTATTCCAGCTGTTCTCATGGCAGGTGAGTTGCTCCCATATATATCCAGCCAACTGCCAGTGCATCTTCTGAACTACCGCCCAATAATAGATTGCCGTTGCCGGCCTGGCGCTGCCCGGATTGGGCTATGCGGTCGCCTGGCTGGCGTCCAAGCTGTTGCATCAGAACGCTGTCGATGCCCTGACCATTGCCATTGAGACGGGCATACAGAATACGGGCATTGCCATATTCTTTTTGCGCACCACCCTGCCACAGCCGCAGGCGGATCTCACCACCG